AGAGTGCATGGTTAGTATTGAAGCTCTGGGTTCAATCTCCAGTGTGCATGCACATGGAGTTTTTAAAAAGGTAACCCAGGGCTAGGGTTGTAGCTCTTTGGTAGAGTGCTTGCCTAGCACATGTGAGGCACTGGGTTCAATCCTCACCACAACAAAAATAAATAAAATATTATGTCTGTCTACAACTAAATACATAAGTAAATAAAAAGGTAGCCCAGCCAGGTGTGGTGGTACATACCTGTAATCTCAGCAGCTTGGGAGGCTGAGGCAGGAGGATCGAAAGTTCAAAGCCAGCCTCAAGCCTTAGTAACTTAGTGAGGCCTTAAGCAACTTAGCAAGACCCTGTCTCAAAATGAAAAATAAAAAGGGCTGGCTGGGGATGTGGCTCAGTGGTTAAGTACCCCTGAATTCAATTCCTGGTACTCCCCCCAAAAAGTAACCCAACATAAAAAATAAAAAGATAAACCAGTTTATGAAAATTATTGATTATGTCTTAAATTTCTTTTTAAAGTTAGGGGGAAATCAACTGACAAAAAAAAAGAAATCAACAGACCAGGAAAAAATGCTACATATCAAAATTCATGGGAAAATGAGGAGATTTATAAGATATGCTAAATCACTTACCCAAAGTCACATAAAGGGTAAAAGCAGCTGGGCATCATGGCATGGCTCATGCCTATAATCCCAGTAACTTGGGAGGCTAAGGCAGGAGTATCACAAGTTCAAGGCCATCCTCAGTAATTTAGTGAGGCTCTAAGCAGCTTAGCAAGATTCAGTCTCAACATAAAAATAAAAGGGGCTGGAGATGTGACTCAGTGGTAAGGGGCCTCTGGGTTCACTCCCCAGGAAACCCCACCCCCACCCCCACCCCCACCCACAAAGAGCAAGAAAGAAAATGATGCTAAAGGGTTCAGGAATAGAATTCTTGGTATCTAAATTTTTACCAGTCACCCCCTTTTGGGTTGGGGACTTTTTTTTTTAATTTTTAAATTTTATTTATTTATTTTTTAGTTCTAGGTGGATACAATCTTTATTTTACATTTATGTGGTGCTGAGGATTGAACGCAGTGCCTCATGCATACTTGGCGAGCATTCTACCACTGAGCCACAACCCCAGCCCTGGGACTTTTTTTTTTAATATTTATTTTTTTAGCTTTAGGTGGACACAATATCTTTATTTTAGTTTTATGTGATGCTGAGGATCGAACCCAGTGCCTCACGCATGCCAGAAGAGCACACTACTACTTGAGCCATATCCCCAGCCAAGGGGACTTTTTTTAAAATATTTTTTTAGTTGTTAACAAACCAGTGCCTCACACATGCTAGGTAAGCACTCTACCCCTGAACTGCAACTCCAGCCCATGGATGGGAACTTCTTATCAAAGAAATTACATTCAAATCATATCGTGGGGCTGGAATTGTGGTTCAGTGGTAGAGCGCTCGCCTAACATGGACAGGACCCTGGTTCAATCCTCAGCACCACATGAAAATAAAGGTATTGTGTTGTGTCCATCTACACCTAAAAAATAAATATTTAAAAAAATTATAGTCGTCAAAAGGGAAACCTAGCTTCACTATTATTAGCTGATTAATCACCTCTAATGTGGTGTTGCATCCTGGTAAACTAAGTTGGAAAAATGCACTTTGGCCTTAAAGCTGAAGTGAGACTTTTCTGAATTTTTACTTCTATTTCAAGGACAGATCCAACTTGAGCTCCCCCAGAAGTTGTAGGTTCTGAAAAACTGGAGTAGATGATGGACACAGGCATTCTGAGAAGACTGATTTGCCTGGAAGGGTAAGCAAGAGTTCTGTGGGGCATGCCTAAGGGAGAGTGGTCAGGCTCACCAGGGAGACATGCCCACAGGCCCAACTCAGGTTTTTGCTATCACTTCAACAATTCTTCCTCCATTGAGTGGAGCTAGTTCCTAGTTGGGATGAAAGATCAGGACCCCTCACCCTAAGTATTCTCCCCAGGGGGAAGAGGGGCAGGAACACATTCTTCTTTTGGTGCACGAGTGGAAATATGGAGTAGGGAGAGAGAAGTTTAAAGAATAAGATTGCTATTAACAATTTGTCATAGCACAGTGGAAAATCTAGATGAAACATAGGAAAGCAAGTACTGCCAAATTTTCTTAATAAGTAGAAAACCTGATTAATTTTTGAAATGATGGAAAATATTGGAAATACAGTCAAAGACTACCTCCAAATAGGTGCTTACCCCTGGAGTTTTATGGGCTAATTTACCAAAGGAAACATGTAAGAGATAAAGGCAGAATAACCACCTATAAGTTTCTACAAATCAGTAAGAAAAAGATAAACAATCCAGTAGGAAATTGGACAGATGTTCTAAATCTTGGACAAGGTACTTCAACTTTCTTTTCCTCTGCATACTCTTCTGGAAGTGTAACTACTTCGTGATGATATTGAGACGATTAAATGAGGTGATTCACATAAAGCATTTCTAGTGCTTACAGATGGCTCATCATATGCTCTCAGATATTAATTATTGTTACTCAAAAATAGTCAATAGTACAATGTTGGAAAATGGCCATTTTTCATTCGCATGGGGAAATTAGCACTCTCATGTACTGTTGATAAAAGTATAATGAAAGTAACCTTTTTGAAGACTGATAGAAGTAATAATGTGATATAACAACTGCTTCTAGGGATATCCAACAAAAGCATTTCTACATGTGTACAAAGATAAATGAATAAGGATATTTATTCATTATAGAACTGTTTATAATAACAAAGCAATGGGATACAATCAAAATAACAATAGTTAATATTGTGATGTACTTATCATAATCTGCTGTAGAAGAGTGAGATGGCACTATCTAGTACAGACATGGGAAAATATTTCAAGATAAGTTGTTAAAACCAAGTTGCAGAATAAATTTTATGTACCAAATCTATGCTTAGAAAAACAAAACAAGGGCTGGGGATATAGTTCAGTTGGTAGAGTACTTGCCTTGAATGCACAAAGCTATGTGTTCAATCCTTAGCACCATCAAAAAAAAAAAAAAAGACGGGGGTGGGGGGGTGCTGGGGTTGTAGTAGCTCGGTGCTTGCCTAGCATCAAGCATGTGTGAGGCACTGGGTTCCATTCTCATCGCCATATATAAATAAATAAAAATATTAAAAAACAAAAACACCAGACCTGTACACATACAAATACATAGAGAAACATTTGGGAAAATACCTATCACATAGTGTTTTTTCAGTGTAGAACTGTCATAAATAGAATTCGTTACGGTCAATAAATAGAATCAAAATCAAATCGGTGGTGAAGTTAATGGGAGACTTTATCATTTTATTCTGTATTATGTGAATTTATTCACAGAGAACTCATGTTCTCTTTTGTCAAATTTAAATATTTGAGTATCTGAACAAAAATTCAAACGAAAGTTAGAGCCAAGTGTTATTCTTCTCATATCTGGTTGGCAACTGGGAATAGAAGAGCTTGGGTCTGTTTGAGAATAAAACACAACTTGGTGCAAACATATGAGGTCTCTGGGAAATGATACTAGGTTGCATAAATGAAACATTCACATTGAGTAAGACTCTTGCCTAAGTGCACAGCTTGAAATATGGAGGAAAATACAACCAAGTTGTCTGCTAAGAAGCCAGAGAGAACTTTTCGAGTTGGTGGAAGTGTTCTTTTTGTGTGTGGAATGGGGTTACTCGGGTTGAATCTAGGAGGACTCTATCACTCAGACAGCCTTGTATTTGTTTTTATTTTATTTTATTTTTTTGAGATGGGGTTTTGTTAAGTTGTCCAGGCTGATCTTGAACTTGTGATCCTCTTGCCTTAACTTCCTGAGTCATTGGGATTACAGGCATGAACCACTATACCTAGCTGGTAGAAGTGTTTATATCTTAATTGTTGTGGGAGTTACATAACTGTGTATGTTGACCAAAAGTCATGGAACTGTACACTTGAGTGAATTTATTTATGTACCTAAACCTAATTTGGGGAGAGTATGTACAGGTATCTAAAACTAAGACCAGAAAGACAAGGAATTTTGTTTCTGCTCTATGGTTAGTGCTTTTCCTCTTATCCCACCATTCTGTCTTTGAGTTAAAAATTTGTAAGCAAATGTATGTGAGTGTCATTTCGCATTGAACCAGATTGAGTTTGACAGGAGAAGATCGAAATTAATGGTGGAAAACTGACTCTGAGCAAAAGTAGCCAGAACTAGGTGGGACTTCTTATCAGTGATGCCACTTTTTTGCCACTCACAGTGGTTTGGATTCTCAAATACTCATTCACAAACCCTTATGTATAAACCTGTAACGAACCATTGTTAAAGTTGGGGGTGAGAGTGAGGATTGTGCATTGTTGGCTTTTTAGTGGGACATAATTTGCTGTAAGAGACTGCACAAGGTGTTTGATATACCTGGCTTCCAAGCACCAGATGCCCACAGCATTTCCAGTCAAAAGCACTTCTTCACCCTGACTATTTTTGAGTAACATCCAGCTGAACAGATAATGCAGTTTTGTGATTTGAGGTCAAGAGTGTAGGATTGGGAGTCAGAGAACATGTATTGAGAGCTTCTCTGTCTCTAATACTGGCTTTGCAGTATTGAATGTAATGGAACCTTCTGAGTCTGATTTTTCTGTCTGGCAGTGGGATGGTTTGTCTAGGTACCCTCTCAATGTAATAATTTCTTACTCTGAGTTAAGTATAATACAGGGTCAAGATTTCTATCACTGGCTAGGGATCTGATGTATTTGATACTTCTCCAAAAGAACAAATGCTTATGCTGGCTGGGGTGTGGTGGCACACACTGGTAATCCTAAAGACTTGGAAGCTTGAGACAGGAGGATCACAAGTTTGAGGCCATCCTGGGCAACTTAGTGAGACCCTGTCTCAAAATAAAAAGTTCTAGGTAGAGTGTCACTCAGGTCAGTCTCCAGCATCAAAAAAAGGGAAAAAGAGAAGAAAGGAAGGGAAAAAAAAAAAAAGCTTATGTGGCTCAACTTTGTTGTGTTGCAGGTTCAGCTTGTTGGTTTAGATGAGGAAAGTTCGGAGTTTATTTGCCGAAACACCTTTGACCATCCATATCCCACCACAAAACTCATGTGGATCCCTGACACAAAGGGCGTCTATCCAGACCTACTGGCGACAAGTGGTGACTATCTCCGAGTGTGGAGGGTAAGCAGATGCTTGATTAGCAGCCAGACAAATGGGCTTTCTTACTGTCAGCTGTTAGTGTGGAATCGCAGAGAATGGATGGACTAGAGGAAAGTGTCATTTTAGCAAGGGAGAAGCAAGTGCAGCTTATCTGGCCTGACCTTGTTTGGCTCAGCAGATTTTCTAATAAGATTCCATGAGTCTTACTGCTGGCTATAGTCAGCCTTGAAAACCTGAGGCTTAGTTAATTAACCTGATATGACTTGAACAGCCCTCACTGGGTGTCAGGGCTCTTATTCTTTTGACAACCAAGATACTTTTGAGTAAACTAAACCAAATACCAGGCCATTGAGTCTAATAAATGAAGTGAGTGGGTCTTGGAGCACTCCTGCCCCTTTGCTTAGCTCACCATCAGCAACATCCTTAGTAGCCTTGGGCATTGTGTCTAGCAGGCAAGATGCCAAGATTCTGAGTAGAACAAAGTGAGAAGACCCCTCTGAAAAGATGCAGGGAAGAAAATTTTGAAAGCAAAGTTGGGTAGAGGAGAAAGTTTGAAATAATGTGGTATTTAGGAAGTTTCTCATTCTTTATGTTGAAATGTTTTCCTTCATGTCTTAGATTTACTAAGGTACTACCTAAACAGGGTTTTGTTTTGTTTTGTTGGTTAAGATAAGACTGGTTGATTTTTTTCCCCCTCCCTTTAGGTTGGAGAAACAGAGACCAGGCTGGAATGTTTGCTAAACAATAACAAGAACTCGGATTTCTGTGCCCCCCTGACCTCCTTTGACTGGAATGAGGTGGATCCTTATCTTTTAGGTAAAGAAGTTAGGGAGCATGTAGTCCAGTTTGAAAAAGCAGAGATACATATTCTCATATATAACACTGTGCCCGTTTTTGTTTGTTTGTTTGTTTGTTTTTTGCTTCATTTTTGTGGTGCTGGAAATAGAACCCAAGGCCTTATGCATGGTAGACCAATGTTGTAACACTGAGGTATACCCTAGCCCCTGGGCCAGTTTTTAAGTACATCATCCTAAAACAGGCCAAGTGAGAAGTAGGATAAATATGGAATATAGTTATTAACTCCTCTATATAGAACTGAGCTTTCTATGTGTATATGTCTTGTCTCTTGTTAAAATCTAAGGTCGTGAGTTAATAATTTTATATTTGACCCTCCCTGTGCTAAGAAAGTATTTGTGGCATGTTGTCTGCTGGGCCAAGCAGATGAGCAGGAGGGAAGTGTGCACCTCACTCCCCAAGTGTGCAAGGAGAACCTCACTCCTGGCAGCCTCTCACTTGAAGTGGTATTTGCAGGTACCTCAAGCATCGACACAACTTGCACCATCTGGGGACTGGAGACAGGGCAGGTGTTGGGGCGAGTGAATCTTGTGTCTGGCCATGTGAAGACCCAGCTGATCGCACATGACAAAGAGGTAATGACACTTTTTCTTCTTTCCTCAAATGTGTTCTGTATCTGTATGTGAGAGGTCTTAGAGTTCTCTCACTATTGTGCTTGTTACATAGAAGATCATAATACCAATATGCTTGTCTAAATTAAAAACTGTAATGTGTCAAAACAGCAGATATGTTGTGAACTAATGCTTTTTTTTATTTTCTTTTGATACTAGAGATTGAACCAGGGACACTTAATCCCAAAGCCAAATCCACAGCCCTTTTTATTTTTTATATTGTGACAGGGCCTTACTGATTTTCTGAAGCAACTTGTGATCCTTCTGCTTCAGCCTCCCAAGTCGCTGGGATTATAGGCACGAGCCAGCATGCCCAGCAACTAATGAATTTTTTGACCGATATGAATGACTTATTCTATAGTTTTATCATTTTTCTTTTCATGCCAAAGGTTACTGGGGTTTTGGGGGTTCCACCCCACCTGGGTACTGGGGGTTGAATCTAGGGCCCTTTGTATGCCAAGCAAATGTTCTACCACTGAGCTATATTCCAGCCTTCTTTTTTTGTAAATATTTTTTAAGTTATACATGGACACAATATATTTATTTTGTTTATTTATTTTCATGTGGTGCTGAAGATTGAACCCAGTGCCTCACATGTGTGAGACAAGCACTCTGCCACTGAGCCACAACCTTAGCCCTATCCCAGCCTTTTTAAAATTTCTTTGAAACAGGGTGTCAACTATGTTTCCCAAGGTGGCCTCAACCATGTTGGGATCCTCCTGCCTCAGCCTCCCCAAAAGTTTTTTTTTTTTTAAATAATGAAGTCCCTTACAGACACACTGGAAACTGATGTGATTAAAAATAATCTTAGAGTAATACTTGCCTCAAAACTTAATAGCATTTGTTGGAGGGAAGGGAGGCAGTAAAAAGATATTTCTTGACAGACCAACCTAATTTTCAATTTTTTTTGTCTAAAAAGGTTTTATTAATCTTGTACTTTTAATCTGTCAGAAAAGCTATTGGTGATTATATTTTAGTAAAAGCATTCCTTGGGAAAATGGTCATAAATTTTTCTTTCCAGAGCCATTCCATGCTCCTGTCTGATTTTCTGGAGGTCGTGTTTCCTTTTCTATTCTCCCTTACCTACATGGCTAGGGGTATTAATATTTGTACAGGAAAAAAACAAAAATAATGTGAGGTAAGGCCCTGCAATCAATCCCCAGTGTGGCCCAAAGGAAAAAAAAAATGCCTTAACCTTATGCCAGAAACTTGAGGTTGACAAGAGACTAGGATGGTGACAATCAGGTTATCATTTTTAGTAAGGGATTATTCTTCAGGCTTCTGTACTCCTAAACATAAGATTCGTTACAAAGACTACTGGACTTGACTCCTGCTAATCATATGAAGGGTTTGTCCTACAGAAAGGATTAGTGAAGAACTTCTGGAAACCATCTTGGGCATCATGTGGAACAGTGATGCATTTTAGTTATGTGACAGCCTCGCTCACTGTTCTCTGTTAGATTCAACCCAGAGATAGCAATTACTCTGATATTTGAACTGGGAGGCCTCAAGCCAGGGAATTGCTTCCATAGATGCTGTTTAAGCTGAGAACCTACAGAGGCAGCAGTGAATAATTGAGCTAAGAGTAGTAGGAAGCTGACACTTCCTGTAGACCAAAGGTGGCAAAGGAGGAGGCAGGGTTCCTGGAGCCCAGGGGCTGAGTTTACCTGGCAGAAATGCTTCTAAGAACAGGGAGAGGAGGAAAAAATACTTAGCTTCTCTACTTTCTACCATCCATTTCCCACAGGGCTTCCCATGGTTGAACCAGTCAGAAGCAGCCCACAGCTTGGGACTGCCAAACTTAACCTGTAGGAATCAGTTCCCTATGGTACAAAGAGGAGCAGCTGGGGGAGAACCAGGAATGGATCTTTGCATACAGGCCCTGGCCTTGATAGAATGAACCCAAGGATGGTGACTCTGAATTAAACAGGAATACTTCTTAGAATCTTTGATTTTTCTCAGTCCACCTCTCTAAATAAAGACTCATTGGAAGGCTTTGTGGCTACCTGGCAAATCATAGTAGAGGAAGGTTTAGTATGTTGGGGAATTGTTGCTGTCCTTTTGTTTCAGAGGAAGGTTTAGTATGTTGGGGAATTGTTACTGTCCTTTTGTTTCTGAATAATCATACAGGTGGAGAATGAAGAAACAAATCACTCAAAACTGAGCGATCTTTGTTACTGAGCCTCACTGTCCCTGGGCCCCTGTGTCTCTGTCCCCAAGAGTCAACCAGAGCTGGCACCAGAGCTGGCACCATAGCGCACACATACTGCTAAACATGTCTGTCTTAAAGTAGCTGGACAGCACTTGACAAAGCCTTGAGGTTCAGGTGTGTTAGGCCTGGGTGCCTCCTATTGATAACTGACCCAGGTCCCTTTTGAACCACTCTTAATCTCTGCCATAGAAAAGCATAATTTCTTCACAGTCAGCCAGAGAGAAAGGAACTAAAGAAGTTGGATAGAAATAGATACTCATTTGGCAATGTCCCTCAGTAGGCAGAACCTTAAGAGGGTGGGAGCTGCAGTGTCTAGAGAGAAATTCCACCCATGTCTCCCTAGAAGTCAGCTGTCATTGTTATCTTGACTGTAGAGGGTTGGTTTTGGTTGGCATTTGTTTTTCTGTCTCTCTCCACTCATCTAGTGCTGGCGTTATCTGTCTCTCTCAGTCCCTGTCTTTCTTTGAAGTTCTCCATTGCTGTCTCTCTGTTTCCTCATAGGCATTAGTGATATACAATGTTTGCAGCAAATTATAAATACAAAAAACCTGTATTTATTCATTTATGAACGTAAGCCCTCTAGGAGAAGAAAAACATGTCCTAGGGCAAGAGAGTGATCCTAAACTTTCGTGAATATAGGAAAACCTGAGTCTCTCATGATTCAAAATTGCTATTACATGTTTCTTGCAAATGAATCTTAAGTCCAGGTGTCATAACAGAACCAGCTTTACTGCTGTTAAGTAGCCACAGGAGGGCTGGCTTTCACCTCTCACATTCATGACCTTAACCATAATGTGGTCATGGACCTGCCTGTGATTTCCTACAAGTGAAAGCCACCAGAACCCAGGAAATAAGTGTCTCAGTCTTGGAGTGTGGCAGAAGATAGCCATTGGCTCTGACTTCCACTGAGCCTACGTATATAGAATTCTTGTTCAGAGTTATTTGTACTATGTTGATTACCAGGGTATGTGCCTTTTGTTTTATCACAGGTGTTGGAGGAAGAAGACTTAGAAATCAGGACTTGGAAAGGGTGTCAGAGCTCTGGGTTCCAATACTCACAGACACCATTTGGGCTTATTTATCTGCTTCGGTGTTTTGAGCTGGGGTTCATATGAAAAAAATTTCCCTGATACAGGAAAAGGAGGCAACAGATCTGAATCTGACTGAAGTTTCTTCCTCATCAACAGGTCTATGATATTGCATTTAGCCGAGCTGGGGGTGGCAGGGATATGTTTGCCTCTGTGGGTGCCGATGGCTCAGTGCGGATGTTTGACCTCCGCCATCTGGAACACAGCACCATCATTTATGAAGACCCACAGCATCACCCACTTCTTCGCCTCTGCTGGAACAAGCAGGACCCTAACTATCTGGCCACCATGGCCATGGATGGAATGGAGGTGAGCATACCATGCAGGCTCACATAGGCCCTGCCACCTAACTCCATCACTTCTTAGTCTATCTTTAGAAGACTGGTTCTCAGCTGATGGCAATTTTGTACCCAGGTGATCTTGGGAAATATTTGGAGACATTTTTGGTTGTCACACACAGTGGGAGGCAGTTAGTACTCCTGGCATCTAGTGGATAGAAATCAGGGATGCTGATAACATCATATAATGCAGAGGCCAGTTCCCAATAAAGTGTCATCCTACCCAAAATGTTAATAATACCAAGATCAAGAACAAGGACTTTGTTAAGATCTTCTACTAATCTGAAGAATTGGAGTTGGGACCACAACAAGCAGAATCTATAAAGCAAACCAAATCATTTGTGTTTATAGGACTGAGTGAAAAACAGGCAGTTTTCCCATCGGACTTCAGCAAGCAGATATAGAAATGACAGTGACTTGATGAAAGGAGTAGGTTGTTGGTAGAGATGATGCAGTAGTTACCTTGGTTTGGTGAAGTGGATGCCTCAGACTTCTTACATTTCAACTTCTGTTTTGGTGAGGCTCTCATTCTGCCTAGCTGAGATGCACAGAATTCTTACCATAGGCACCTACCAGGGGCCACAGTAGTAGAGCTCTTGCCTAGCATGCGCACAGCCAGGGTGGTGCAATCCCCAGTTCTGCACAGAGAAAAAAATAAAATCTTAAGCACCTACTGGGGTTTGGTGTTGTCCAAATTCACGTTACCTACTCCTTCTTTTCCCCTTTCCTATCAGTCTCAAGGCCTGATGTTGTTCAAAATAGGGACTTTTTTTGTTCTTTATTTTCTTATTCCTCAACCCTTGGGAAATCTGCCCTTAATATTATTTAAATCCACAAATGAACAGTTATATTAAAAAAATTGTGTGTATAGTGTGTTTTGCTTGTTTCTTCTTTTTTTCTTTCACACCTTGCAGTTCCTGGGCATTTTGCTTGTATTTCTATAGGTGGTGATTCTGGATGTCCGAGTTCCCTGCACACCTGTTGCCAGGTTAAACAACCACCGAGCATGTGTCAATGGCATTGCTTGGGCCCCACATTCATCCTGCCACATCTGCACTGCAGGTAACCGTGATGGGGAGAAATTAACAAGGGGTAGTAAAGAATCTTTGACTCCTGGGTTCTTAGGAATATAATCCTTACTGTTTGTCAAGGTTAGTTTTAAGAGATGTACACAAAGTAACTAACTTATCAGGAGCCTCTCCACATTTCCAGATCAACTTTACCCTCAGTGGAGATCTGAGCATTATCCATATACTAATGACATTTTATATTAAAAATGGTCTTGGGGGCTGGGGTTGTAGCTCAGTGGTAGACACTTGCCTAGCACATGAGAGACACTAGATTTGATCCTCAGCACCACATAAAAAAGATAAATTAATAAAGGTATTGGGTTCATCTACAACTAAAAAAATATTAAAAAATGCAGGGGAGGCTGTGCCTCAAAGTCCCCTGGGAAACTTAGGTTCACACAGGGAATGCATATTCAAGAAGAGGCATCCCTCTTGGGTGTAACAGAATCTTTGGAACTGTCAAGACTTTCTACCTTCACAATAACAAATCTGCAGGAAGCTCTGAATGTATTGAAGAGCACATAACCTTGCATGATCAGTATCATGTGACTTATAGTTCTCGTTTCACCATTTTTGCAGACCAAAAAGAGTATCCCTTAAAAATATGCTGGTTGTCAGTGTAACTTTTATTCTAGAAATAAAGTCTATTATTAAAAATGAAAATGGGAGCTGGGGATAAGCTCAGTTGGTAGAGTGCTTGCCTTGCATCCACAAGGCCATGGCTTCAATCCCCAGCACCCAAAAAAAAAAAAAAAAAAAAAGACAGAAAGAAAATAATGCAGAGGTATAATAGGAAGGTAAAAGTCATTTTTTTCTCCTTGCTGTATCATTTCCACCTCTGAACCACACTCTTTATAGGTAACTTTTAACAACAGTTGGTGTCTTCTTCTGGACCCTTTTGGTGTATACAAGCATATACATACCCCCAAATATGAGCACACATCCCATTATTTTATGCAACAGGATTCTACTCCAGTCCCACAGCATTCTTCTTTTTTTTCCCCCAGTGCATCAGGCTTTGTGTATGTGTGTTGGGTAGGGGGGGTGCGTGGTAGGGATTGAATCCAAGGGTACTTAACCACTGAGCCACATCCCCAACCCTTTTTATTTTTTATTTTGAGACAGGGACTCACTAAGTGCTTTAAACTTGCCATCCTCCACCTTACTCTCCTGAGCCACTGGGGTTACAGGCATGTGCTACACCATGCCCAGCCCATCAGGCTTCCTTCTACCGTACTTTTTCTTCTCCTCAATAATTACTAGCCTTATGATGAATTTTATCCATTATATAGTCAAAGAAGCATCGAGGATTGATGGTTTTCTGCCATCATAGTATTAATTTGACTAGCAGGAAGCATTTCTCAATTATAGCCCTCTGCTCATGCCTTCACATCTCATTGAGGACCACTTGGAGGCCTGCTGCCACCTTCTAAACCCCATGTCATGGTCTGCCTTCTTCATTACTTCCCTGTTTTTGTCCTGGAGTATGGATAGGGAGGGAAAAGGAAGAAAAACGTGTCACTCTTCATTCATAGAGAGTAGTACTGGCTTGGCAGATGCCCTACCTTCTGCTCCAACAGTGTGCCTCCACCTGGCTCCCTGCTGTGTGTATGCTGCACTTGTTTTGAGACCCTTCCATTGAAAGAGCTGTTGCTTAAGAGTACTTTATTGAGCATTAAGGATCAGGATCTCAGGGCTTTGGATGACTGAGGGTTTGAAGCGATGCCTCAGATCTCTTGTTCCCAGGAAAGGATCTTATACTTTGCCCATGTTACATGGACTTGATAAGAGACCAGTGTTGCCTATGGTTAGCCTAGTCTATCAGGGTTCAGTTTATTCAGATTCCTTGTATATCCAAGACTGGCTTTCACATCAGGATGGATGATGGAGTCAGAGAATATTGACTTTGAAGGTCCTTGCTTTTTTTTCCCTCAAAAGTTTTTTACTTTGGTTGTAAAAGTCCTGTGATCAGCTTGGCATGAGCCTATAATCCCACAATTTGGGAAGCTGAGGCAGAAGGATTGCAGATATGAAGCCAGCCTTGGCAACTTAGCAAGACTCAGTCTCAAAATATAAAACGGACTGGGGATGTAGCTCAGGGGTAAAGCATCCTGGTTTCAGCCCCCAGTACCAAATAAAAAGTAATGTGACCACATTACAGTTCACTTAGGAAATGGAGAAAAGTAGAGATAACCTAGTCTTTCTAATGTTACCATCATTCTCATTTTGATAGATTTCCTTCTAGTCATTTTCATAGGCTTATATTCACATTACATTGAATCATGAGAGCGGGATCTTTAACCACTCAGGTATTTTTTAGTGGCTGAAAATGACTTCCTCTTTTGGGATCCTTTTTATCCCTTTGCCCTCTTCTGATGCTTGAGCCCAATGAGAGGTGCTCATTTAGTCCTGATCTAATGTCCTAACCCTGGTGCAATGTGCATGGGGCCTGAGGACATATGTAACCTGGAATAAAGGCTAGACCTGAGCTTGCCACTCACTGACTGCATAGCTGTATGACTTTGGGCAAGTGCCTTAACATTTCTGAAACTGTTTCCTCATGTATAAAAAAGGGTCTTAAAACAAAACCTTCCTCACAGGCATTGCTTTGTCAGCTGTGACTCATTACCCATTGCCTGAGTTGTGACACTGCTCACTTTCTTTATCCGTAGCGGATGACCATCAGGCTCTCATCTGGGACATCCAGCAAATGCCCCGGGCCATCGAGGACCCTATCCTGGCCTACACAGCCGAAGGAGAGATCAACAATGTGCAGTGGGCATCCACTCAGCCCGACTGGATTGCCATATGCTACAACAACTGCCTGGAGATACTCCGAGTGTAGTGTTGGTGGCACCTCACCCACAAGGCAGGGGCCTCTGTGTTTCCCGTCTCTGCCCCACCCCAAGTAAGAAGAAACATGTTTCCAGTGGCCAGTATGTGTATTGTTGCTTTGCACCCACTGTTTCCAAAAGCTGCTCTAGGAGTTCCCGGCCAGTCACCCCTCACTCTCTGTGCCGGACTCAGTGCTATGTGGCTCCTCCTCAGCCCAGGGCTGAGTTTTACTGTTTTCTCTCCTTTCTTCTTCTCCTTTGCTGCCTCAATTAAACATTTCTGTATATTTGTTTGTCATCTGTTGTGTTAATGAGCACTGGCTCTGTTGTATCCATCTGCCCTAGCTGTCTCTATCTGTTTGCTGCCCAAGGCAGCAGTCCATGTCTTCCCCATCCATGTCCATGTTAGCACTTAAGCGGGAACAAATTCAAAGTTGTCTTTTCTCCTGGTATCAGTGTCTTCAACAAATCTCACTTTGTGCATTTTTTATCTATCAGGCTAATTTTTTAATGAAAAGAATTCCATTCTTCCTGGTTTCTTCCTTTGTTTCATAGTCCTCTGTTTTTGCACCTTTCTTTTTTCCCTCAGTGCCTGGAATGGGTACTGGGTCCTTGATCCCATGAGCAGTTTACCTTCCTGAGTCACTGCTTGAGTGGCATACATCCGACCAGGAATCTCAAACTGCCCTGGTGCTCTGAAGTCCACCGACTCCTCAAACTTTTCTCAACCTGGCCATTTTCAAGGCCATTGTGGGCTCCAGGACAGATGTAGGAGGCCTCTGTTACACTCTGAAATTCTTGTGTCAGGCCCTATTAGGTACCTTTGGGCACTTGTTAGAACTGAGATAGGCAGGTACCTGGAAGGACCAGGCTAAAGGGGAATTGTTTCAGGAAAAGTGAATTGAGATTATGTTTTTAATACCTAGTTCCAGAGTCTGTTTTTCCCTCCAGACGTAAACCCTGGGCTGCTCCATTTCAGAAATGAATGAGAGGCAGGAATGATCTCTAAGCTGAACTTGGGTATTGGTTTCTTGAGCTTCCTGTGCCTGATGGGATATTGGCCCCTCTGGATTGAGTGCTCTGAACAAGCACCTTCCTGAGAGATATCGTCCATGCATCTGACCTTGAGCGAGATCATTAGAGTAGGGGATACAGGCAGTTCATAAGGGATGGACTAATCTGCTGTGATGATCCCAGGCCATCAAGTAAATAGCCATAAAAGAATCACAGGCTCCAGGGTCAGCTAGCTAAGAGATCTACCCTTATCTGTCAAACTCACCTTCACCCAGTTTACCTCTGAGCAGTATTGGACTTGTAGTCTGAGTTGTCTTTGTTGACTTACAGGTCACAAATGTCAGTTTCCGTTACATGAATGGGTTTCACAGAAGAGGCTTGTGTGTAATTCCAACTTTGGATGAGCCCTTAGGGTGGCCACAGTTTGTAATGTGCTCTGAGGAGAGTTCACCTAGCTTGTCAGGCTCTACCAAGTGCCTGAAGGTTTTTTAGACTGAGTTGCTTGTCTGAGATTAGGAGAGTAGCAGGTCTAGAGGCCAGTGGTTTTGTCCTCTTGGGATCTCACCAAAAAATAAAAGTTAACTTCATTCTTCTGAGCCCTTAAACTCTTATGGTTGTCTTTCTTTTCCACCACTGATGGAGTAGTATGCCAAAAGTCATAGCTTGCTTTACCACACAGGGGCTTGTCCCATAGGAGAGCCTTTTCTAGTTGGGGTATTTCAGCCTTGTCCTTCTTACTTTATCATTCTGATTTGGGGATCTGTTTGGCCATCTACTTGAGGTTGACTTTTCTGCATTTACCACCAGCTTTGCACTGTATCATTTGAAGATGTAGAGTGAGCAATTCTTGGTTGACCCTCCTTCTCTGCTTTTAATTGTGTTTGCTAGTGGTTATGGGGTCTTCTCTAAAGGTAGCAAGTCCAGCTGATGGCTATTGCTCTAGGAGGCCCCCAGTTTCTTTCTGTGGAGAGAATCTGCAAAGTGGTAGCAAGGGCTGGTCTTGCTGGGGATGGCCTATCTCTATTGAGTTCTTTTTTTTTTTTTTTTGAGACAGGGTTTTGCTATGTTGCCCAAGCTGGTCTCAAACTTAGCCTCCCAAGTGGCTAGGACTACAGGCACACGCCACCATGCCCAGCTTCCACTGTGGACTTAAACCTGGTCTGAGTGGCAAGGAGATTTATTAACTGGAACTCAAAAATAGTAATTCAGAAAATATAATTAGCAATAGTTATTAAAATAGGTTTTGATGACGTAGCTATTTACCCAGGAAACCACCTACTTCTGATGTTTTTTTCCCTCCTTGCCCTATGGACTTCCAGACCTGTCATTTTGCTGTAGGCCCTGAAGTGCAGTCCTACTCTTCTGTGCCCCACTTGGAACAAAATTGAGACTTCACTCTTGCTTCTCTTAGCAAACACATATACACGCAGTTGCCAGGTTACTGGTATTTTAAAGATCCGGGTCTCTCACCCTCCCATCAGGAACATGGCCTTATGGCTGAGGTGGGGATTTCTGTAGTGTGAGGATGTAGAAAGTCTTGAAGTTTTCGTTTCTAAAGCAGATCTCTTTAATTGGTTTTGGTTCTCAAAATGACAGTCAACAAGGGGGCTCCTGATCTGCTCTTCTTGAGATGCTGCTAGGACTTCACTAGGGAGGCCACAGAGGCATCTCTGAGCTCTGGTAGCTGTGATGGCCCTTTGACTTATCTTGGCAGGCTGAGCTTCAGGTGTCTCTGCTTCCCAGGAAGGGTGGAATGCTGAGTCAGTTAGACCTCAGGTCTCTTAACAATCAGAGAGCTAAGCTGGTGAGTCCAAGGCATTCAGTGGCTTGAATGATGGACTCAGGAAGTTGAAGTCCTCTCCTTCCAGGGAGGAATGAGCCTGCAAGGTTAGGACTTGAAGAGAAATGATATTTGATGACTGGTGAGAATTCCATATAGAATCAGGTTCAGCTCAGAAAATTGGCTAAGATTCAGGAAGAACAACAACAACAACAACAACAAAAATTCAGAGTCCTACAATGTGTTTACAATAGTAGAAATTTTAGGAGGAAATTTTGGACATGGGAAAAAGTGGTGTTTCTGTGGATGAAAAGAGGCATGTTAGAGGGCATTTTAGATCTGAAGTAGGGATTCAGAGAGTGTTTTGTGGCTGTGGAATGAGGCTGCCCTCAGCCTGAAACAACTAAGAGCTCTACCCACACTTGTTAAACTCGCCCCTGAGCAGTATTGAACTTGAAGTCTGCCTTCCTGGACTAATCAGTGGTGCTGGATAGCTATGAGACAGGATGACGGCTCAGGTCAGAGGGGCCCCCTCCCTGCAGCAGGCAGCCATAGGCAATGTCTGGTGGGTGATAAGAATCCACAAGCATTGCATGTCCTGTGACCATTCCAGACCATGGTTCTTCTTGATTGTATTGCACAGAGGTGATAAGCAGTCATATTTCCCTCCTCCTTTTTGTTTTCTTTTTTCTACTCCTTACCTTTCTTCTATAGAACCTTCTCCCTGCTGCAGCCTGGACTCTAGATTCCTAGGCTCTAAGGACATACAAGAACTGCAGGGTTTACCAAATGTGGGAGGGCTTCTAGATTGCCCTTCACTTCCCCATTTTAAGAATGTGACATCTCTGGTCTGTCTGCCTTGGGGTAGAGAACTGACCCAAACACAGAGAATTGAAGTAGAGCCTTTTCCTTTTACTGTCTGCACTCCAGGATGAGAAAAGAGGGTCATGATTGATGCTTAGGTTGAGTTTTCTGGGAAGAGAACTGAGCTGAGCAAAGCAAGGTGAACCTGGGCCAGGCTTTCTGAGAGTCATCTTCTTTGTGCTGGCTGTGCCACTGCTGAGAGTGTCTTATGTTGCACCTTGCCCACCTCACCCACCTCACCCTATCCTCCCACTGTTGTCATTGCTGCTAATGGTCAAAGTCAAATATGTGGCTACATGGGATGGGCCAGGTCCTTTTGGACTGCTTTATCTGGTTGTCAGTTTTTAAAAATGGAAACATGCAGGTGCCTTCTGAAAGAGGCTTGGACTGGTATGTCACACCAGAAACAAATAAGCTAAAGAAAGTTTGGACTCCAGAAGGAAGATGGTGACAGTTTGTGTGACAGCTGGAAAACATACAAGCACCCACATTTGGGACAAACCAGTGAAGATGAACTTATGGTCACATCTACTATTTAAAAGAAAGGTTCTCATCTTGGGTTGATTGTAGTATACAGTGTGTTATGAAAAATGTTGAGCTGAAGCTTTGACTTGCTTTAGTCCAGTATAAATCACTTGCTTTGGTTCCTGTGTATTTTATGACCCCTCTGACAGTGATTTTGCCTCGTTCCCCACCAAGTGTGAATTTGTAGCATGATTGTATAAGCCTCGATGTAGAAAATGGAGATTTCTTGTTCCCTAAAATGTTATCTAACCAGTCTTTCTGTGCCCATTAGCCTAGTATGTCTGAACTTATTTTCTTGTTATATATCTAAAATTTCCCTCTATCCTGTAGGTTTTGTGGCATCCCCTTGTCAGGTGGAGAGGAAGCTGCCCCTTACAGAACTGTACTGTAACTGTTTTTCTTTTATGAATATTATTTTCACAGGACTGATTGTACACAGGGCTTGTAATAAAATTATAACACTGTGCTGTGAAACCACACTGAGGATCTCCACTGAAGGCCACTTCAAAGGCACTTGAAAGTGGAGTGTTTCTATGACTTTAGTTCTTGTTTCCTAAGTATATTAAACCTAATTTTCACCCTTTCATTCTGTTTCAGCCTCCTGTATAAGAAGTACCGTATTTTCTGCCCATCATACTTTGTAATAAAACTTGAACATGTATAGATTGAATTTCTTCTTGTGGTGAATTCAGTTCGTCCCAGTTTGCCCTTTTGGTAATGTTTCAGAGACACTGGCTGGAGGATTAAACCCCACCTCAGCCTATTACACTTATCTGACAGTCCAGCTCATCACCTCTTACTCTGTTTTGGTCACTTGTTATTTGGTTAACCAAACACAGAGCACCTACTGTATGCCAAGGATTGTGTCCTTCAGACTGCTTACACTCTACAAAGGGAGACAAATTACAAATAGTTTGTAATGTTACTACAATAACAGGGATGTGTTCAGGCACACTGGTAGCCCTGAGGAAGCCTCTGCCTGGGTGGGAGACAGAGAAAATTGCAAGATGAGGGCAGCCTGACTCGGGTTTTATATTGTTTAGTTTTCAGCACTGGGGACTGGCAGTCTGCCACGGAGCCACAGTCCTGACTAGGAATTTGAGTAGGAGTTCTTTGGAAATAGGGAATGTTACTTAAGGCAGAGAGAACACCCATATGCAGAGGCAAGAAAGAACTACATATTGATGAATTGTGCATGTGAAATTGTGGGAAATGTAGCTGGAGAGGTAAGCAGAAGCCAAATCAGGGAGAGTTTTGTGCTTTGCAAAAATGTTAGACCTTATACCTAATACTCATGTATGAGACTTTGGAAAATTTAACATAAAATGAAGTTATGAACAGAATTGCATTTTAGGCTAGGTATGGTGGTGCACATCTGTAATCCCAGCAGTTAGGAAGGCTGAGGCAGGAGGATCACAAGTTCAAAGCCAGCCTCAGCAACTTAGTGAGACCCTTTCTCAAAATAAAACAAAAAGGACTGGGAATAGAACTGAGCTGAGCAAAGGGCTGGGGATGTGGCTCAGTGGTTAAGCACTCCAGGATGAGGAAAGAGGGTCATGATTGAGTTCCTGGTACCAAAAAAAAAAAAGGCATTTTAGAAAGATAGGCAATGAAGCCTCTGAAAGGGTGGTGAGATGGGGAGTTGTGTCATGCTGTATTAGTCAAGGTGAGAGAAAACAAAAGCCTGAACTAAGGCAGGAGCAGCAGAGATGAGAAGGACAGGGCACAGTGAAGGAGTATTCAAAATTCAGTAATCTATTGACTTTGAAAAACAAAGAGATGATAACTTCTAAATCTCATATCTGGACACCAGGCTCTTACAACTGACTCAAGAGTTCCAAAGCCATGCCAGTTTCTCAAACCTATGATCCAACATGGTAGGATGGGGAAGAGGTTCCTATCCCACTGCTATTCCAATGCTGTGCAGCCCGGATGAAATGCAACCCCCCATTTATTTTAGCTATTTGCTCCTATTAGTCCATTTTTAGAGAAGCAAGGCAAACTGGTTAGTTTAGTGAGCCTGTATTCAGCAAGTGCCTGCCATTGCAAAACAACATAGAATTGAGGTAACAGGTTCTTGAAGACAAGTGTGTACTCGAGAACTTAAAATTCACAAGCACCCATTGGCTCTGTTGGAACTGTGCTATGATCTTACAATGCATGTTTTATAGGAAATATGTGATTCTGCTCCCTTGTTTTTAAGGATAAAACCGGGAGAGTGACACTTGACTGCAGTCTCAATTGGCTAGGTAAGGTGAGGCTGTGCAACAAACTCCCAAATCTCAGTGACTGAGCACAACCAAAGTTTATTTTTTGCTTGCACAAAGTCCTTTGGCAATAGATCAGCCCTTCTCCACCTTCATCTGGAACATCTGGCCTCCCAGTCACTTTGGAAAGGGGAAGTAATATTTTTCAGGTAGGCCTGGAAGTGGCTTACTCCTGCCCATGTCTACCAAACTCAGTCACATGGTTCCAACATAAGGAAAGTCAAGAAATCAAGTCTTCTGTGGGCCCTGGAAGAGGAAATAAAGTGACCAGTAAATAGTAATGTCTTTACAATATATCATAGGGTGCACTACCTGGAATAACAGCGTCATTTGTTGAGAGCTGTTTGAACTGGACAATACATGTTTGAACCTAATAGAATGATACCTTCTACCAGTCTTTTACCTTTTTATTTTTTTTAAGTTTTTTAAAAAAATATATTTTAAGTTGTAGATGGACACAATATCTTTATTTATTTTTATGTGGTGCTAAGGATCGAACCCACTGCCTCACATGTGCTAGACAAGTGCTCTACCACTGAGCCACCACAGCCCCAGCCCTTCCAAGGTTCATTTTTAAGTGATTTCAATGATCCTGACAATCAAGCCTCTGGAGATAGTTCAGTCATTTGTGAATTGGTCTTGAGGAAGTAAATAGCTCAGACTGAAAAAGCAAAAAAATCTGGGTATGTAGCTCTGTGGTAGAACTAGTGTGTGCCTACACCTTGGGAGTGATCCCAAGCCCTGTCAAAAAAATAAAATACACATAAAAACAGCTACAGAGTCGAAGCAAATTATATTTCTTTCCAAATCACACGCTGAAGCTTAAAGTGTCAAAAACACACATTTTTCTTCTGAGTGACTACTCTTTAAAAAAATTTGCCAAGAAACTGTTCTCTAAAATCATAGTTTGCTGTTTGAATCCTGACTGTCTTGTTTGGAGGAGCTGTCACTTTGACAGAAAGGAGCATAGCCTTGATTTCCAACCCAGGTATAGGGCTTCCAGGCAGAGGTTTGTGAACACAACTTTAAATTTATCTTAACTTTATATCTGCTGAGGAGACTGATGCCTTGGGCCCTCTGCAGTCCAAGCAGATGTCAGCAGATTTTTGCATACTCTGTGTTCCTTTGAGCCTATCAAACTGTTTCACTTAAATTTGGCTAAATCTCCACCTTCCCCATAATCCTATAGTAACTGTCATATCCTTTACTTGACAAGATACCATCCTCCCACCATTCCTCTGGTGTGTACTCTCCCCTACTGCAGTGAGCATCAGCTTGACTGTTGGATGACAGGTTTGACCCTGGAGGGCTGGTGATGATACAAGAACAGTCGCAACCTTGTTTGATTTCTGCACTTATTTGTGAATATAAATTCTATTAATTTGCATTTTGCTAACAAGGTAACATCATAACTACATTTAATGATAAAAAGTAACATGAATAGCTAGTGAGCACATGAAAAGATGTTCAACATTATTACTCAACAGGGAAGTATAATCAAATCAATGAGAACACATCACACCCCTCGGATGGTAACAATTACAAAAAGATAAATTTAGTGAGGGTGTGAGAAACTGAACCCTCATACCTTGCTGGTGGGAATATAAAGTAATGCAACCACTCTGCAAAATAGTCTGGCAGTCCCTCAAAAAGGTAAAACAATTCTAATTGCAACTTGACCCAGAAATTCCACTCATAGATATATTCCCAAGAGAAGTGAAGTTCCCAAGTTTACACATATTCACATATTCATAGCATCATTATTCATAATAGAACGTGGAAACATAGATAAATAAAATGTGGTATGTTCATATAATGGAATATTATTTGACAATAAAAAGGAATGAAATACTGATGTGCTACAACATAACTGAACCCTGAAAACATGCTATGCAAAAAAGTAGTGAATCACAAAGGATCACATAGTGTATGATCTCATTTGTATGAAACGTCCAACAGAGGCAAATCTACAGAGACAGAAGCTATTGCCTCAGGCATTGAAAATTGGGAAGAAATGGTAGTGACTGCTAATGGATATAGTGTTTCTTTTGAGAATGATGAAAATGTAAGATTGATTATGGTGATGGCTACACAACTCTGTAAATATACCAAAAATCATTGTTTACTTTTAAGTTGATGGCCTGTATTACATGTGGGATGTATTAATAAAGTCATTTTCTTTTCAAAACCTACTATGGGGCACAGGAATAGTATCATAATGGAGACACATAAGCATTTTGATATAAAAAAGGTAAGTACCAAAATACAAACATGCATGAAGGGTTATATGAGGGCAGAGTAGGGCACCTCAGCCCAATAGGAAATAATGCTTGAGCTGAATCTTTTTTTTTTTTTTTTTTTTTTTTGCGGGGGGTGGGGGTGGTGGATTGAATCAGGGATGCTTTACCACTAAGCCACATCCTCAGCCCCAACTTTTGTTTTTAATTTTTGAAATCAGGTTTCACTAAATTGCTTAGGGCCTTGCTAAGTTGCTGAGGCTGGCCTCAAACATGTGATCCTCCTGCCTCACCATCCTGTGTCACTGAGATTACAGGCATGCACCATCAAGCCTGACAACCTGAGCTACATCCTGAAGGAAGAATGAAAACGAACCAGGTAAAGTGAAGTGTAATAGAGCCCAGCAAAGACATAGGTCTGGGGGCTGGGGATACAGCTCAATTGGTGGAGTGCTTGCTTAGCATGCACAAGACCCTGGGTTCAATCCCTAGCACCACCAAAAATTAAATAAAATTGTTCTAAGGACAAAGCATTTTTTTTTTAAAAAAAAGACATAGGTCTGTGCTTAAAAGGAATTGGGAGAAGTATTAAGAGCAATATGGTGTTGCTAATCTGCAAGGAAGAGGATGCCTGCCTGCCAAGGAAGAGGAAGCCTGGATTTTTAAAAAAAAATTAAATTTGCTGAGCACATTGGTGCACACCTGTAACTGCAACTACTCAGGAGGCTGAGACAGAAGGATCACAAGTTTTAGGCCAGCCTAGGCAACTTAGCAAGACCCTGTCTCAAAATTTTAAAAAGACTGGGGTTTAGCTCAATGATAGAGTGCTTGCCTAGCATGCTCAAGATCCTGGCACTTCTAGCACCCCCCCCCCACACACACACATATACACACACACACATTCCTAAGTGAACTATTAATTACAGTTAAAGGGCTAAGGATGTAGCTCCGTGGCAGAGCACTTGCCTAGCATGCTACAAGGACCTAGGTTTAGTCTCTAGCACCACAAGAAAAAAATTACAGCTAAAATTTTGAAGAAGTTCCATAAGAAGGATCACTGAGAAGGTGATAGCCAAATTGGGAGATGATAAAGATTTCACCAATGAGACAACGAAGGCATTTTAAACAGAGAAGCAAAGAGGTGATAAGATTTTGTACTCAGAGCTGAGCATAGTGATGTACCACTGTAATTCCAGTGAAAGGGTCAGGTGGTGGGAGCTGAGGAAGGACACAGTGAACTCTTTCCTCACACTGGAGTGCAGCATCAGGACATGAGACTGCAAAATGAGTAGCTGGATTAGGGAGGTCCTTATGTAATAAAATAAAATAATAAATATTAACAAAATATAATAAAAATATACAAATAAAATAATAATACATAACAAATAAAATATAATAATAAATAATAATAATAAATCTATGTCTGTGTGCTTTACATCTATTATCCCATTATCCTGACACTGGAGAATAGGTGTCTCTGGAGAAGGATCCTAGGAGATCCCAAAGGGAAGGGGGGATTTGACTCCGTACTAGCAAGATCTTTTCCTTAAATGATGGAAAAGAATTTCAAGTGTGTATCAGTCAGAGGCATAAACAGAGGTCTACTTTCCTGTTATTTAGGAAGGTAGATATGTGTTCAGGGAGAATGCTGACAATCTCAAGATAGATGCTTTTGGGGGTAAAGCAAGGAATACACATTCAAGTGAGAATACAGGCCATCTTGAGAATGAGAGATGTGGTTTGGAAATTCTGGCTCTTTATTTAGGTACTGGGGATTGAATCTAGGGGTGCTTTACCACTGAGCTACATCCCCAGCCCTATATATTTTGTTTTTGAGTCAGAGTCTCACAAAGTTGCTTAGGGCCTAAGTTACTGAGGCTGTCCTCAAACTTGCAATCCTCCTGCCTCAGCCTCTCAAGTCACTAGAATTACCAATTGTGCCACTATGCTAGGCTCTGGCTCTTCTTGTAAAAGAAACTTGCTGAGGGGTAGGTATGAGAAAGATATCGGTCTAGTGATCTCAACAGTTTATGGTGGTCTGGGCAATCTCAGGATCCTTAGGCGATGTGTTCTTGATTGTCTGATCAATAGCACTGGAAAGTCCCTTAAATTATAGGTTTCTCAAAATATTACATCTCTCTTTATTTAACATATTTATTGGGGGGGGGTGTTGATTAACAGTGCAAAGGTAGAATTACAGATTTCACAGGAATTCGTGGGTGACTGGCCTAGGAGACACTGGCTTAGGAAGTGACTGGCCTGAAACATTATGCAGAATTTCTTTTATCTTTATGTCTCCTTTCTGCCTATTTTTTTTTTAAATTTCTTCTATCCTACCTCAATCTTAGATTTTATATCTAAGGAAGTGAAAAGTAAAGGAATTTGACCCAGGTTGCACTAGTAAATGAAACAGCCAAAGTTTGAACTTAGCCTGTCTAACCCCACAGGGCAGAAATTAAAGCAGGGAGTTTGACTACAAAAGGCTCCTCTCCCCAAAAGCCTGTGGCTCATCTGAATGTGCCCTAATGAACCTCTTGTGTTTAGGAGCTTAATCACTATGATCACTGCTGTCATTTATATTAGAATTTATTGCTTTAAAGCTCAAAGGGCTTGTGTTGTGTTTTGAACTCTTCTACGTTGGTAAAGTTGGTATCCTTGTTTATAGCCAGAGAGTAAATGTAAATGAGTCAGAGAGTAAAGGTCTAGATAACTCAAGTTCTCTGAGGGCGGCTTTCTTACCTTAAAACGAGGCAGTTAAACGACATATTTCTTTGCAACAGCAGCAGACGACCTATTATTCTGTTAGGAAGGAATATGGAAGCAAAATCAGTTTCATAAACCAGATGTATCCCTATTAAATCATTGTGGGACATAAAGTTCGGTGCTCCCCCAAGCAACCCGGAGGGACTGAACACTAGGTCACGCCTCAGACTCACTCTTTGGAACCACAAAACAGGAGCCAAGGACAGTGCAGCCACGGAACGGACTTTGCGGGCGATGGGGACCTGTTTTTGAAACGGACTTGTGAGAGGAAGTGCACTACTCCATCAAGGGTCCCCACATCTGGCTGCCGGGAGGACAGTGCGGGGGTCGTTCCTCGTTAGACTGCTACAGACAGGCGTGACCGGCGGAAGCAAGCTCAGCGTCCAAACCTACTCGTTCCGGCAGCCGACAGGACGGGCTCATCTTAGCCGCTGCTGTTGGAAGTTGCAGCCAAGAGTGGGAGCCGATGGCGTTTTGGGCTGCCGCCAACGTGAGCAAAACAGCTGCCCGATGCTTGCGGGCGCGAGGCCCCGGGTTCCCTGCGGCTTCTCGGTTCGCCTCCCACCCAGAGCCTCCGGGCTACGGCCCTGTTGCGGGCAAGAAGCTGCACCTTACCGCGGCGGCCCTCGCCGGGCACAACAAATGGTCCAAAGTCCGGCACATTAAGGGTCCCAAGGATACAGAAAGGAGTCGCATCTTCTCCAAACTCTGTCTGAGCATCCGCCTGGCGGTTAAAGGTGAGAACCTGATAGCCCCTTCTGGCCGCCGCTGCCCTCTCCGACCCTATTGTCTCGCTTGCCTCCTGGGGTTGCGCTAGGGTGCACCCTGATCCCGAGACCTTCATTTTCTTTTCATTCCCCCAATTACCACTGTTGCCCACCTCATTAACCTTCAGAACCTATCTACATTGGATGTCCCTCATTCACTCTTCCAAACAATTTTTCTTGTTAAAAAGGGAGCTGCCCTAGAAAGAAAGATAAGAAGTAAAAGTGACTTCATCCAAGTCTGTAGCTAGGAGCTCCATAGAAACAAATCCTCAGGTCAGATATATGTCTCAAACCCAAGCCCTCTGCAGTTGCTTCTTGTAGCATGTAGGTTGTGGCAGAGGCTATTGCTTGCCTAAGCCCCAGTTTGCCTCATTAGGGTTTCTTGAGACATATTTTCTTAGAAGGTAGGCTTGCAGCCATATCTTTTCCCAGTTTTGTAGCTACCCTAAAAAGTCTGTATTCTTTTTAGTGTCAGACATCCATAGGAGTAGAGAAAAAAAATCCTGTAAAAAGCAGGGACTTTGAAGTCAGGAAGACTTGGATTCTACTAATCCAAGACCTTGCACAAGTGGCTTAACTTTGTTGGGTTTTAGTTTCCTTTTCTGTAAAATGGATTTGGCCTGCTTTTCAGTAGTTTACTGAACATAATAAGCATTCATTTAATGTTAATTTGCCTCTAGAACTCCTGCCTGGTATTTCTTTTTGATTCCTTTTCTTCTGAATTCTGTGTGCATGTATGTATATATTTTACTGAAGGGCTAACACCAAGAGCCATTCACTCTTGGATTTTTTTTTTTTTTTCAGTACTGAGAGATCACCCATATCCTTGCACATGCTAGCCAAGAACTCTACCATTGAGCTACATCCCCAGCCCTTTTAAAATTTTTACTTTGAGACAGGATCTGACTAAAGTGCCCAGATTTGCCTCGAATTTGGAATTCTCCTGCCTCAGCCTCCTGAGTAACTGGGATTTCAGACATGAGTTGGCATATCCAGCTAAGAATTCTTGATATTAAGTTCAACTAACAGTATGGAATGTTTATTTCCTGACAGGCACTGATCATACAAAGATTATGAGATACAGCCCCTAGTCTCAGAGACAGCATACTTACAATGTCATGTGAACATTTCAGTAATTATGCCCAAAGTAATAGAGTAAGAGCAAGGAGTATTAATAAGTCTAGGAGATATTGTTATCATCAGTGTCTCTCACCATTTTATCTAATGAAAAGTAGAGTTTGCCAAAACCTAGAATGGATAACCACTCCCAAAGATGCAGAGAATTAGAAATTTCTTTTCCAAAATACTTCCTATATTCCATGCAGATACTGGATACATTGTTTTTTGTTTGTTTGTTTTTGGTACTGGGGATTGAACTCAGGAACTTGACCACTGAGCCACATCCCCAGCCCTACTTTGTATTTTATTTAGAGTCAGTGTCTCCCTGAGTTGCTTAGTGCCTTACTGTTGCCCAGGCTGGCTTTGAACTCCTGATCCTCCTACCTCAGCATCCTCAGAGGCTGGGATTACAGGCCTGTCCACTGTGCTCAGCATGGATACATTGTTTTAATGAATGAAATGGTAACTTGCCACTGTTTTGGCTGGAAGTAGGGCTGTAAATCCCTTTTTTCTCCCATGCTGTAATGAGATATTTTTGCTGACACTTTTTTTCTTTATTTCAGAGGGAGGCCCTGACCCTGAGAGCAACAGCCACCTAGCTAATATCCTAGAGGTGTGTCGCAGCAAGCATATGCCCAAATCAACAATTGAGGCAGCGCTAAAAATGGAGGTGTGTCTTCAGTTTAATGTTCTTGTTATTGAACACAGTTCCCACAGGGTCTGTTTGGAAGGCTACCAAACACTCCTTAAATTATCAGACACTCTCAACCTAAGTGCCTCTGGGGTTTGGAGGAGCACAGTCAGGAGCAGGATGAGTAGATGGTGTTCAGAACCACACAACCCAGAACTTCCCAACCAAGCTGTGATGGGATGGGATAGAAAGAATGGGCACAGTGTGGGGAAAGCCCTGATATTAGTTTGAAGAAGGGTTATTTTTCTTTTTCAAATGTTTATGCCCTGTAGAAGAAAAGCCAGTAGAAGGGGAAAGGGTGACAGCGATAGTGATGGTGGGAGGAGCAGGGATGTTGAACTCCTGTGAGGGGTACCTTTTCCTCTGGGACAAGGAAGAATGATGTGAAGGAGTTAGTAATCATCTTAATAGCTAGTATTTATTGGGTGCTTATGCCAGGCCAAATACTTTGCTAAAAACTCTATATGCATTTTCTCAGTGAATCCTCAAAATGATCCTAAGTGGAAATTGAGGCACAGAATGTTTAGGTGACTGACTAGTATGGCAATATATAAAAACGTGGATGTGTAACCGATGTGATTCTGCAATCTGTATACGGGGTAAAAATGGGAGTTTATAACCCACTTGAATCAAATGTGTGAAATATGATATGTCAAGAGCTTTGTAATGTTTTGAACAACCAATTAAAAAAAAAAAAAAAGAATGTTTAGGTGACTGGACTTAGCTCAAACAGAAAATGACAGACTTGAATCAGACTCCAGAAACTATGCTCTAACATTATGCATATTGCCTTTATGTAGACAGAAGCAGAGATACAATTTTCTTCCACCCAGGGGCCCTGTATTTCCTTTGTGAAAGTGTAAGAGAAGTCATCAGTTGAAAGTTCCAGAAAGGTGCAGGGCAGGGTGCTTGAAAAGAGTAGTAAAGATTGGATGCATAGACAGGGATAAGTAAGAGGTGTGGGGAGTCCACATGAAATTGGTTATTGGCGTTCTGGAGTGTTTGAATTTTGAGTCCATGCTATTTTCACCAGCTCTTAGGACAAGGCCCTGTTGTGTGATTTTTATGCAGCAGTACTCAGCAATACAGGGGTAGGAGCATTGAGACTTAACAGGTGGGTTTCATGTGAAATAGGATGTAGGAGGATGAATCCTGGTGGGGGTGACTTGGGAGGACAGATGTGGGATTTGGCTGTGGAGGGGAGGAAGCAGAATTCAGAGATGGCTGATTATTCAAGGGACCAGGGAACCAAAACAGACTCCCTTCTGAGAAGGGGTGATATTTTCTGTTACCTCAAAAGTTGGTCCCTAGGGCCTCCTCTGAGAAGGTGGGGACAGAAATAAAGACTTGAGAATACAGGCTCCAGCCTAGAGGCCCATCTTATGAAGCCAACATTGTGGTGCCCGTGGTTTGGACTTGGCATGTAGGAGGGAATTGGGAAACAGGAAAATGTGTTTGTGTTGTTTATTGCAGAAAACTAAGGGCATTTATTTGCTGTATGAGGGTCGAGGCCCTGGTGGCTCTTCTCTGCTCATTGAGGCATTATCTAACAGTGGCTCCAAGTGCCAGTCAGACATTCGACATATCCTGAACAAGAATGGGTAGGTGTGTGTCTAGGGGAGAGGAATGTGGGAGGGAACAGAGCCTTCTGGTTCTAATCTATGCAAGGTAAATACTGTTGACTTCTTGTGGTATTTCAAATTATAAGCATACCTTCTCCTTATTAGAATCCACTGGCATAATTGAATTTTTTAAAATATTTTTTTAGTTGTAGGTGGACACAGTACCTTTATTTTATTCATTTATATGTGGTGCTGAGGATCGAACCCAGAGCCTCACATGTGTTAGGAAAGCGCTCTATCACTGAGCCACAACCCCAGCCTGGCATAATTGATTTGATCTTAATATATTCTGTTCTAGGAAGGATCCAAAAGACATGTTCATCTGTGTAGACAGGATCTTTGTCCCATTATCCCATTTGTAGCTATATAATGGTCAGGTCTTAAAATGCTTTACCAGGACTGGAGTCTTTAGGACTCCAGGAAATAATTAGCAGTCTTTGTATCCTCCAGACTCCAATCAGGGCAGAAAATAGAGGGTGGGGATGTCCTTGGACTATTCCTTACCCAGCAGCAGCTGCGTCTTCTTCAGGGAGGGAGCTGCTCCATGTCCATGTTTGCTCTATAGGCCCAGTGAGGAAGAGGTGGTGTTAGAGTCTGTGCTTTGTGGAGGCTGAATGTCTAAAGGCATCCATGCACTCTGGCCCATTTCCTTTCTTCTCAGGGGAATAATGACAGAAGGAGCTCGTCATTCTTTTGACAAAAAGGGGGTGGTTGTGGTTGGAGTGGAAGACAGAGAGAAGAAAGCTGTGAACCTAGAGCGTGCCCTGGAGCTGGCAATTGAAGCTGGAGCTGAAGATGTCAAGGAGGCTGAAGATGAAGAAGAAAAGAACCTTTTTAAAGTGAGTTTGAAGCCTCTATCTTTGGTGGGCTTAACATGCCTCTCTTGGTTTCTTCCTGTGCCCCAGGGTACAGGTGAGGAAAAGAGTTCACATATTGTACAAACATTAATTAAATGAATACTGGATAAGGGGCCTACTCTACTGAGGATGATGAGAAAGAGTCAGAATATTGAAAACTGTGAATTTAACCCAATGATATATTAAACTACAGCAGTTCCACTTGAGACTTTGCAAAGTTCTATCTGGCTTTGTTTTAATACCTTCTGACTTTCTTTTATCCCTTAGTTTATTTGTGATGCCTCTTCACTGCATCAAGTGAGGAACAAGCTGGACTCTCTGGGCTTATGCTCTGTGTCCTGTACACTGGAGTTCATCCCCACCTCAACAGTGCGACTGGCTGACCCCGACCTGGAGCAGGCTGCTCATCTCATCCAGGCTCTTGGCAACTATGAGGATGTGATTCATGTCTATGACAACATTGAATGACCAGGACATATGTGCTTGTGGGCTCCTTCTTAGGCAAGGGACAGCTCATTCTATAGCACAGGCATCTGCAGCAATCTTTGAGACTGAAGCAGGTGGGAAGCCTAACAGGTTAGGAGGTCAAAGGCCATTTCTTGTGGCTTTGAGGTCAGGGGAATCACACTTTCCTGGGACTTCTTTGTTGGCACTGCTGGTATTTCAAAGCCCTCCTGGATGCAGGGTGGGATCAGCCAGCTGGTCTGACTGTGATCTCAGGTAGTTGGCCCTTGTGGGAATTGTAAACTCCTCAAGGCCCTATATATTGAAAACTACTCTTTGTGTGTGGGTACGTCTATGTGTGTGTTTATGGTATTAGGGATTGAATCAAGGGTGCTGTACCACTAAGCTCTGTCCCTAGCCCCTTTTTATTTTTTAAGTCAGGGTCTTGCTGCTCAGGCTGGCCTTGAACTTGGGATCCTCTTGCCTCAGCCTCCTGAATCACTGGGATAACAGATGTGTACAACCATGCCCAGCTGGAACCTATTCTTAAATAATGACAGTGGTTGATCTTGGTTGCTGCATTGCTGTTGTATGGCTCTTGAGCTTTTCTGCATTCATTTGGGTATTGGACTTCTAGACTAACTATTTCAGTACCCCATGCTTAGTTCCGTCCTTCAATTCCAGATTTTTGTTGTTGTTGTTTTGTAGTACTGGGGACTTCACCCAGGGATGCTTTACCACTAAGCTATACCCCCAAATCCTTTTACTTTTTACTTTGAAACAGGGTCTCACTAAGTTGCCCAGTTTGACCTTGAACTTGTGAATCTTCTGCCTCAGCCTCCTGAGTATCTGGGATTACAGGCATACCCCATTATACCCAGCTTGTTGCTTTTTTTTTTGACTGGCCATAGAAATATGGTTGTATCCAGGCACTCTGTGGTCTAATACTGGTCTTATGGCTTAACATTGGTATTCATTCATGTAACTACTGTTTCTCAAACATCTACAGTGTACAAGAACTCTCCTTATCTAGAGCACAGACTGTTCAGCTGGCACCCTGTGACCTCAGAGGGAAAATACAGGACTACTCTCTATAGGAGCTGCCCACAATAGTGGGGTGTGCTATGCATGTATCTTCATTTGATGTGGCCTCTGTGCCCTTCTGTCACCAGAGAGCTTAAGGTTCTAGCCCAGTAGAAAATTAGGTGTCAGTGATAAGGGACTCCCTAGGACCTTTTTCCTGACCATTGTATGTCCTGAGATTGGTCAGAGTAGACCTGTCAGAAGATTGGGCTGCTCTGCAGAAAGCCATCATCAAGCTGAGTTTGAGTGCTGCAGGTACCTAGGACACCCAGCCCCAGCTCCTTTCCATCCCATATGTGAAATGATGGGGCCCTAAGAACCGAAGAGGTCATGGAGACAGAAGGAAGAGTGAAAGACTGAATCAGAAGCCTGGTAGTAACTTCTGGGTTCAGAGGGGCCAGGAAGGCCAACCACATATGCCTGTCAAGCATTTTGGGCCTGGAGTGCCTTTTGGATCCCTGTTATCCACCTCCTTGTAAGTTGTTTAAGCTATTTCTGAGCTCATAGTAATTTTCCTGAAGGAGCCTCAGGTAAATAAGGATGGAAAATAACCAAAACCAAATTGACTATAAATGATAACTTTAGCTTTTAGGAACAATAGATGACTAATTTTACAATGACCTTGACAACCGGAGAGCAATGGCTGTGGGGAAGAAAACTGACTGAATAATCCAAGATGATGTCAAACTATATGTCCTTGTATCTAGTTATTCATAGTCAAACTATTACCTGGAACTCTTTATTTTGTAGGAGATAACTCATCCAAACAGCTGATTAACATATAATTAAAATATAGTATAATTTTAAGTTTATATGCTGCTTCATACCCAACAATTGTATCAAATAAGCCAAGTATATTATGCACAGTTGATCTCACACAAAGCAGGTGAGAACAGGTTCTAACACCACGTCTTATATTAATAGACATTGTTTATAAAGTATCTCTATTTTTGGAAATGTTAAATATAAATTAATTCGGAAGACTGATCATTTTTAATCTGAGAAATATGTATAAGGAAGCCTACTCTTATGTAATAATATAATAATATAATAATGTGAATTGGCTTCCTCTAGCCTAGTAGATAGAATTTATTAATATGGATTGTTGCATAACCAGTTTTCTTACATCAAGGCTACTTGCAGAATTGCATGGTAATAGCTTCTGTTGAAGATGGCTCTGCACTGACCCCTGGCGGTATCCCGCAGTCTCTTGCAGTTAATGTACAAGAGGAAATGAAGGAACCCTTTTTTGAACCTGTTCTGCTGTTTCTAGATCTGGTAAAGAGATCTTGAGCTATTTAAATAAAAATTGTCATATCGATATGATGAGGTATTATGCTGCCATTAAAAATTATTTTTCAAAGAATATTTTTGTCAGAAGATCTTTACATAATCATTTATTACTGTTTTTTTTTTTTTTTAAATTATCTTTTAACTAGGGGACATACTTAAAAAACAAAACCTATACAAATTATTTTCTAACCAGGGAGACCACATCTGGGTATGCAGGAGCCAGATAGACCTTAAAATCAGAGGAATGGGGGGTTAGGGTTGTAGGTCAGTGTAGAGCACTTGCCTAGCTCGTGTGAGGCGCTGGGTTCACATAAAAATAAATATAGGTATTGATTGTGTCCATCTACAACTAAAAAAATATTTTAAAAAATCAGAAGAATGGGGTCTGGAACTGACTTGCTTTACCTTATTATTGTTCATTTTCTTAGCAACACAAAGTCATTCAAGGACTTGAAGCCACATTAGGCTTACATTCAAGTGTCCTTTTGGTGGAATGGAAGCATTTGTGACAGGCTCTTTCCACTGCCTTTATTGTTTTAATAAGTGCTATTGTGTGGAGCTGCCTTCCCTCTGCCAGAGGCCCTGACTGAATCAAAGAGGACTCTGCCTCTAACCAACTGTGGAAATTCAACCCCTTGGTTGAGTTACTTTTTTCCCTCTGTAACTTAGAGCAAAGCAGTCAATAAATCTCAAAACCCTAGGATCCCCTGACTCCCAGACTTTTAATTGAATTCCTGCAGACTCCTCTGGAGATATTGAGGAGAAAAAATTAAAATGTCAATAGGTCTAGCATATGCAAGTGCTATAATAGATTACACACTAGTCTTGACTAAATCACTTTCTTCTACCATGCCTAGCCAGTGAACAGAAAAGCATTTTTTCCTTTTTTACCTTTTTTTTTTTTTTGTCTATACCAAAAAGGTAACAGTATTTTGTTTTGTTACCAAAGATTGAACCCAGGGGTGTTTAACCACTGAGCCACATCCCCAGCCCCCCCCCCCCCACACACACACACACACCTGCCTTTTTTTGAGACAGGATCTTGCTAAGTTGCTGAGGCTGGCTTTGAACTTGCAATCCTCCTGACTCAGCCTCCCCAGCTGCCAGGATTACAGAAGTGCACCACTGCACCCAGCTGAAATTTATTGGTTGTTTTTTTTTTTTTAAGTTAAGCCTTACAGAAATATACAAGAACAAAGGTCCCATCTAAACCTACCTGCTAAGATACAACCAGCATTAGCAATCTATGTTATTCTATTCTTTGGAGCCAGTCTTCCAGGAAATTAGCTCTGCGGGTCACTAATGGCCTTGGACAAGAATTTAGCTTCTTTGCATCTGATAATTCATATGTAAAATGGGAATAATAACAGTACCTATACTATTTGTCAAGCACTTAAAATGGTGCCTGGCAATAGTTAAGTTTTTAATAAATGTTGGCCTTTTCCCCATTAAATATGAATGAACATTTTCTAAAACTGAATTGTGATCACCCTATACACTTTATAACCTGTTTGTTTTCCACTTCACAAGATATTCTGGGTAGCTTTTAATATTAGTATGAAAAAGTCTCTTCATTCTTGTTAGTAGTTACCTCATACTCTTTGGTGTTAATGTGCCATAATTTATTGAACCAGTCTCTTATTGTCTACTTACAAAAGATATTGTAATGAATGTTCTTAATCTTTGCTCACTTGTAAAATATATTTTGTGATGAGTTTATAGAAGTGGAATTTCAAAATGAAAAAGCAATTTTTATTTAGAAGTAAATGTCAATAGTTGTAAAAATCTGCTATGAAGTGTATGTTACCTTGATGACACAGACAAACTAACCAGTTGAAATGGTAATCCAAATATATTCTACTTTACCTCCAAATTAAAAGAATGTTCATCAGATCAGGTGATAGATGCTGGGCTTGATGATGCACACCTATAATCCCAGCAACTTGAGAGGCTGAGGCAGGAGGCTCACAAGTTTGAGATCAACCTCAGCAACTTAGTGATACTCTTCTCTCAAAATAAAAAACAGTGCTGGGTATATTTGTGGAAATTACATTCAATTACTGATATCCCCATTTGATATTCATTTAACACATTTTTTTAATGTTCTATGAAATAAAAGATAGTAGGCATACTTACTAATTTGAATGAAAGCCTCTCTCTCTCTCTCCCCCTTTCTCTCTTTCAGTAGTGGGAATCAAACAGAGTGTCTTGGCTGAGTATGGTGGCACATGTCTGTAATCCCTGTGGCTCGGGAGGACAAGGCACGAGGATCACTAACTCAGCAATGGCAAGGTGCTAAGCAACTCAGTGAGACCCTATCTCTAAATAAAATACAAAATAGGGCTGGGGATGTGGCTCAGTGGTTGAGTGCCTGAGTTCAATCCCTGCTACCAAAAAAAGAAAAAAGAAAAGAAAAGCGAAGTGCCTTGTGCATGCTAGGTAAGTATTCTACCACTGAGCTAGATCCCTACCCTAACAACGCCTGACAGTATGCTTCCTTTGTTAAAGGCAATTACATCAAGGTGGGACAAGTGTGTGGATGAAGAAGTACTGGATGCTCTGAGAGCACGTCAGAGGGCCTTAACCCAGACTTGGAGTTATGTGTTTGGGAAGGCTTCCTAGAGGGAAGCTAAGGAAGTTTAGGCTAAGTTTTTTTCCTGAAAAAATGAGGGGTGGGGTGCAAAATACACATTGAGAGACTGTTACACTAAGTAATCCAAGTAGACAGATTGAAGACATGGTCAAGATTGGTGGTGAGGGAAGGGAAATGGGGAGCAAGAGCTCATTGATAACTCAGGTATTACTTGGGGAACAGAAGGTGGAAACTGGAACAAGGGAGGAAAATGATGAGTTCAGTTTGGATCTGTAGAATTGAATTTAGGTGCCTGTGTGAAGTCCAAGGAGTGATATATATCTCAAACTCAGAAGGACCTGCCAGAGCTAGAGAGGAAGTTTGGATTCTGGAATTCTCAGCACATATGATAATTGCAGCAAGGGAATGTTTGAGATGGTTGGTTGAGGGATCAACAGTGGAAATGAAGCCCACTAAAAAGGCAGGGGAAAGAAAGGTAGAAGGGAAATCAGAAGGCTTTATCCAGCTGAAGACTCAATAGTTGTGTTGCAGTTCATTACATGCACGGCACTATTCCAATTGCTGATGATAAAGCAGTAAGGTTTTACACAGATTTTATTTGTTGTATTTGGAGGAAGCAATATAATTTCATGCACTATGAAGGAAAAATAAGGCAAAATATGGAAATACAGAATGATGGAAGAAAGGCTATTTTTTAAATATTTATTTTTTAGTTGTAGTTAAACACAATATCTTTATTTATTTATTTTATTTATTTATTATTTTTATGTAGTGCTGAGGATCAAACCCATAGCCCTGCATGTGCTAGGAGTGCACTCTACCGCTGAGCCACAACCCCAGCCCTTTTTAAAAAAAGTTTTAGTTGTCAATGGATCTTTTTATTTTATTTATTTATATGTGGTGCTGAGGATTGAACCCAGGACCTCACACGTGCCAGGCAAGTGCTCTACCTCTGAGCCACAACTCTAGCCCCGAAAGGCTATTTTTGATGGGGTGTCTAGGAATGATTACTCTTAAGAATTGGCATTTGAGCAGATGTACAGAAACGTCTGAAGTACAGAAACGGGAATATCTTGGGGAAGAGCACTTCAGGTAGAACAAATCGCAAGTGCAAAGGTCCTGAGGTAAAGAGCTTGGTAGATTCAAAGAATGTTACGGAGGCCAGCATGGTATAAGGCTGGCAGTGGTAAAAGAGTTTGGAGAGGATGGCTGGGGTCAGCTCCTGCTGAGCCTGGTGACAAAGAATTGGGGTTTTATTCTGAGTGTGTTGGGAAGACATTAGAGGGTTGACAGCAAGGAGTGGCATGATCTGAATTATATTTAACGAAGATCACTCTGGTTGCTGCTGGAGAATTATTTTGGGGGCAGCCCAGAGGAAACAGACCAGATAGGAGGTTGGGACAATTATCCAGGAGAGAGAGAGGGTGTATTTTAGTTTGGTGGCGATGTAAATTGGATGGATTCAGATACATTTTGAAATGAGAGCTGAAAATATATACTAAGTGTTTAGATATATGTTTGTTAGGAAAACAAAGAATCAAGGAAGCCTCTTCTTGGTTTGTACTTTAACAACTAGGAAAACAGGAGCAGAGTTTAGGGTGAAGGGGAAAAGAATCTAGAGTTCTTATGTAGAACATGTTAAATTGGATACATATATTGGACATTCCAAGAGAAGCTGCTTCTTGGGCCTTCAGATACAGGTCTTAGAGTGGGTACTAGATTTCTTCTGGCATTCATATAATTTTTTAAAAATATTTTTTAGGTGTAGATGGATATAACACAACACCTTTATTTTTATGTGGTGCTGAGGATCGAACCCGGATCCTGCCCGATAGGCAAGCACTCAATGTGAGCCACAATCCCAGCCCGATATATAATTTTTTTTGTTGATCTCAAGATCAATAAATTAAGACCTGAATCTAGGCCTCAGGTTGGCAGATGGTGACTTCTAGCATTGGCCTATTATATGCATTCTTAACAGGGTGATATTGTCCTCAATGGGACAAAAATTTATTGTCAAAGTTGGAAGAAAAAAAAAAAACAAACCCTTAGACTTTACAATGACTTATGACCTTCAGAATTCAACTTCATCTGACAAAAATCTTTTTTTTTTTTGGTCGTGCTGGAGATTGAACCTAGAGCCTTGTGAATTTTAGGCAAGCACTCTACCAACTGAGCTACACCCCCAGCTCCATCTGACAAAATCTTATTCCTTAGTGTTTAATATATTTTATTAGGAAGAGCTTAAATTTAATTAAGTAATTAAAATTTTCAGACTAGGGGCTGGGCATGATAGTGTAGGCTTGTAATCCCAGGCTGAGGCAGGAGGATCACAAATTCTCAGCCAGTTTGGCTAGTTAACTTAGTGAGAACCTGTCTAAAAATTTCTTAAAAAGGCGGGGGCGGCAGGGCTTCTGGCTCAGTGGTAGAGTGCTTGTCCCCCATGTGTGAGGCACTGGGTTCAAGTCTCAGCACCATATATAAATAAGTAAATAAAAATAAAAGTCCATTGACAATTTAAAAAAAGTAACACATAGTCTTAAAAAAAAAAAAAAAAGGTTGGGGATATATCCCAGTGGTAGAGCACCCTGAGTTCAGTCCCTAGTAGCATTAAAAACAAATAGTTGGGATGTAGCTCATTGTTAGAGCTTTTTGCCTAGCATGTGCAAGATCCTGGATTCAGTCCTAGACACCATAAATAACTAAATTAATAAGTTAATTGATTAAAATTTTCTCCTGGCACGGATGGATGATGGAAAAAAAATAGGTTGAGAAACACTGAACTCGTGCATGGCTTTTAGGACAGACCTGGTATGAATCCTGGTTCCATCACTTGGACATGGAACTTAAATGAAATGACATGCCTGGCCTATAGAGAATGGCTGACAAATGTTTCTTTCCCTTTTATTTCCTCATCCCAGAAGGGAGATTATTATAGAGAACTCCAGTAAATTGAGTGGTGACCTAAATCAGGTGGGAATATGAACTTTAAAAACGTATTGAGGAAAAGCAGGACATAAGGGCTAATTAAATATTAGGAATTGGGTGTAAGAAAAAGGGAGCAGCTGAAGTAATTCTTAAGGAATTTGACACTCAAGGCAAGCCCCCAGTAAAGGTTGTTAGGTGCCTGTTGAAAATGCTATCTGAGGAAGCTTACTCTGGAGTCATTGACATATTTCACTGAAATAGTGATCAGAGGAAGAGAGCCCACATTAATTGTGGCGGACTTGGAATCGGAAGATCTGGGTGTATAAAATGTTGAACAATGAGGGGTTGGGAAAATTAATTATGGTCACTATTTTGAAATATCATGCAGCCGGTACAATTGATTCAGAACAATATTTAGTGGCACATTAGGAAACAATATGAAGCCATTTTTGTCAAACTTATGTCTGGGTAGGAAATAGATAAAATTATCTCTGGGCTAGATATCAAGTTTTCTTCTTTGTAGTTTTCTGTGTTTTTATTTTTTTTTTCAATACAAAATGCTTTTGTTAGTTTTAATAACTAGAAAAAAAAAACACTATTTTCCAAAAGAACTTTTGGCGGAATTCACAGAACGTTGTGACCCACATCTCAGCATTACCCCAACCTCTGGGTCCTGAGAAACGGAGAACCAAGGGTGTGGCTCCGGAGGTCTGAGACCCAGGGAAAGGGAGGCAGTGGCGAAACCTCCCTCCTCTGGGCAAGCCCCGTCTTTGCGGGGAGGACTAACTAGGGATCGGACGCAGAGGTGGCCACACGACGCGAAGCTCAGAGCCAGACCCTTCCCTGGGGCTAACACCGGGAGGAGCAAGACGCTGGCCTCCGGAGTCGTCCGGACCACGGGGGCAGCCTAGAACCGAAGGGCGGAAGGCCCAATGGCCCTGGCGGCCGCCTCCTAACCCCAGCCCCAGAGTAGCCGGCTGGGAACCGCGCCAGCCCGCGCGTTCGCGGAGCCTTCGATGACTGATGGGAGGTGGGAATGTGGGCGGAGCTTCACACCGCAGCTGTGATTGGAGCAGCCCACACCTCCCGGGAAGAGCTGGAGAGAGCTCCAGCTAGAGATGCGCAGAGACTGAGGCTCGAAGTCTTCTCCGTGATTGGCTAGCAGCACGGGAAACCGGCTATGTTTTGATGATTGGCAGGCGCCAGACATCACTCGGAAACCGACTTTGCTTGGCCATTGGCATCCTGAGGGAGGAGGCGGGATTAGTTTTCGTGTGGTGCTGATGATTAGCTGGCGGCTGAAAGAGTTTAGGGTGTTGGGAGAGAGCCTGGGGAGGGGGGCAATAGGGGTAGCTGACTTCCTTCTCGTTATTGGCTGGTGAAGTGAGTGGGGGTGGTGCGAAGGTCCTGCAGCTGCCTGGGATTGGAGGATGCTGGAGTGAGTGACAGACAGGGGGGCGAGCTGCGCGACCAGCGGTTTGTTTTTCGGAGCGTTCCTGAGGTGGAGAACGGTGGCCGGACCGAGCGACTGCTGGACTGAGGGACTGGTGGGCGGGCGGGCCGAGCGGCACTGGCGACACCGGGCTGGGCCAAGCCCGGGAGCGCCCGGGATGTAGCGGGCCACCCTGCCCATGCCACAGCGCCCGGCTGCGGGCGGAGCCGGAGCCGGAGCCTGGGGAGGCGGCGGGGGCCCTGAGCGCAGCCCGCGGCCCCCGCGCGGAGCCAGGCCCGCTGCCGTCCCCGCCGCCCGGGCCCCCGGCATGCAGCCCCTGCTGCGGAGGTGACACTCCTGGGCTCGAGCCGCCGCCGCCATCGCCACCATGGGTGAGTGTCGCCACCGCCCCGGCCTGTGCCCGCGCTGCCTCGCGACGCCCCGCCCCGGTTGGAGGGGAGGAGAGCCCTGGGCCGCCGCCTGACAGGCATGGACAGCTCGCCCAGCCCCGGGCTGCGGACGGTCGGCCCCCCGCTCACCGGCTTGCGGCGCCGGGGCCGGGTTTCTGGCTCCCGAGGCCCTCCGGGGCTGCCCCGCCGGCCGAGCCCACTAGGCAGCCCTCTTTCCGGGAGGCGCGGAAGGCGCATCCCGAGGAGGAGGAGGAGGAGGCGGAGGCGGCGGCGAGACCCAGGGCCAGTGCTCCGCTGGGCAGCCGGCTCCAGCCTCAGCGAGCCGGCCCTGGAGCCCGAGGGAGGGGGAGCGAGAGCGCAGTGTAGGGCCCGGGTTGGAGGCTGGTGCAGGCCCAGCTGCTGTTGTGTCTTTTCCTTGATTTGCTTTTTTTTCCTGCCTGTGTCATTTCCTTCCCTTTGCTCACATAGGCCAGCCTGTGAGTTCCCGGGGCTTGCTTTCGAGTCCTGGTGCGCGCCCCAGCGCAGGGGGAAGGGCGTGCGAGGATCGGCTGCGAAGTGATTAAACTCGAATCTCTGTTATCAACAGCGTGGTTGAGAAATGCGTGCTCCACGCAGATTGCAGAAGGTTAGGAATGTAGGGTGCTGCAGATTATAGTTCTTCCGCTGCTTTTTGAAAGATTCATTTGTGGTGTTTTACGTCTATTATTTTTCTCTTGTGATATTCCTGAAAATTATGTAACTTTTGAAAGAAACATTTGCTACAGAAAAGATTCTAGGAAATCATTTCCTTTTTGTCAATATTTGCCGTTTTAGCTGGAAGGTGTAATCTAAGAAAAGCTGATATTGTCTTCCACACGCAGCACTTAAACTAGATTTCATATCCTTTTTAGTACTTAACAAATGACCATTGGAGCAGATTAAGGAATAGACGAGACAGGCGGTGTAATACTGTTGTCCCCATTCACAAGAATTATTAAAAGGGTGAACTTGAGTGAAAAAGGATTCTTTGCAAAACCATTCATTGCTTCTCCGCAGTGTCCCATGTGAAGAGGGAATGTTAATATTTGCTTTGCCCTAATAATCAGGTCAAGTTATTAGGGCATTTTGTAGGTTAAGTGTGTGCTGTGTCACATTGGTTAGATATTCATTTATGACCCATCTCCACACTCTTTGAATGAATTGCCTTGTTCTGTTTCATGCTGTCCCTCAAACAGTATAGGAAGGGTTTATTTGTTTGCTGGGCTTGTTGTTTCTTTCCAATTATGTTCTTTAAAAGTTCTTTCTCTTCTAGGGAATGTCTCCCATGAGAGTTAAACATATAAAGGAATCCAATAAGGCCTGATGTTCAAATATATAATTCTACAAACATTTTTTGAACATTTACTATAAATGGGGCACAGAATTATTTTTGTCTTCCCAAGGCTTTAAATATTTATAGAATTTGAACTAATCTTTGAATTGATTTATGAACCTATATTATAATAGTTAGTCTTCTATAAGTCTACTCTTGTCCTGTGTGGAAGCATTAAGTCCAAAAGGGGTTATGAAGAACTTGAGGTGTTCACACTTTGCAAAACCAGTAAGATTGTCCAGATGTGAGGGCTACATCTCATTACCTAAAATAGATATACGAACCTGTTTTCAAGACATTTTTAAAAAGTTTAAGTGTCTGAATTATGGGGAGGAAAGGAACTATATAGGTAATTTCAGAGTCCCAAAGGTAAAGGACCAGGAACTTTTAATTTGTCCTTTTATCAGTTTTACATTAAAAAACTGAGACTGTGAAGAGGGGAATTAACTTGTCTGGTGGCAGCAATACACTGGACAAGCCAGTTTAAAAACCACTGCCCTGGCTCTTTCTCCCCTTGCCATTCCCTACCTCTTTCTTTTCTGTAGATGATCTTAACACACTGTGAGAGGTAGTATTGAGTTTTCTAGACACCGGGCTCTTTCATTTGTTTTGTTTAGAGCTCAGCAAGGTTATATGTACACAGACACACACTCTCTCTGAAATACTAATTTTATTTTGGTGATGTAAATGATGAAAACTCATCCCCAGTTAGTTTGCTTTGGTTGTAGTTCTAAATAAACCAGCAAGGAAGAGGCCCTGGGTTCAATCCCCAGCACCAAACAAATAAATGAAATAATTTGATGAAAAAGAAACATAGATTCCTTAATATCTTAGTTACACTTGTTGAACTCCATCCCAGTGAGGAAAGGACTAAGACTAATTTGAATACCCTGCCCTGCAGGTTCTTTTGTTAATAGTCATATTTTCTTGAGCTGTTCTATGCCCCAGACTCAAGCCTGTTTGGCAACTTGTATTGTTAATAAAAACAGTTCAGATTTTATATTGGTTATTAGCTCCAGTAAATTTCTAGTAGAAACTATATTTTGTAAATAACAAAAAATTCTTCTTTTTACTTTGATACCATGCTATGTAACTATTAAGAAAAAAAAATGGGATTGACTGGTTGTTATTTCTTGGTTACCGTAGAATTCCCTCCCAGTTTTAGTAATTGTAATGGCAAGTGCTGTTAATAATACCTGAGACTAATTCACTAGTGTTTATTTGGTGTTTTTATAAATACAATCTGAAACTTAGTGGAATATGTTACTGAAAAACATGTAATAACTTGGAAATATTAAGGAAAAATATAGTGAACTAAGTATAGGATTAAATAGTCTGGTTCTAGTCGCTGATTTGATGTCAGAATCATGGTGACTGTTACAGAGTCTGTGTCTCTAGGGTTCCAAGGCTGTTGGGAGCTCCCTGGAAGACCAAATTCAATTTAGTTTGGCTAGAATATGATCACCTGTGTAGACTCAGAATGGTTATTAACTTTTGATTGAAACTTGAATTATAGCCAGGCGTGGTGATGCATGCCTGTAATCCCAATGACTCAGGAGTCTGGGGCAATTTAGTGAGACCCTCAACAAATTAGCAATATGCTGTCTCAAAATTAAAAAAGAAAAAAAAATACTGGGGATGTGACTCAATGATCAAGTGTCCCTGGGTTCAATCCCCAGTACCAAAAAGAAAGAAAGAAAACCTTGAATTGCAGTTTCACAAATCAACATAACATGATTTGTGATATTTTTACCATGTCTTAACGTGATTTCTAATATTTTTTAAAACTGACAATTGGATTTTAAAACTGAATTTTAAGCATTTATAAAAAAGTAATAATCCATCCATTAAGTGCTACTTTGGTGGACACACAGATGATAAGAATCAATTCTGGTTCTATGTAAGCTATCCATTTATTGTTTTGCCCATTTGTCAAGTGTTTCCTATGTTCCAGGTGTAATATTAAGCCCTGTACCTGCATTATTCTGCTCAAGAAGTTATAGTTAGATTAGATGAACCAAAAACATATAAACAATACAGGTTGAATATTACTGTTTTTTTTTTTTTAAAACTCCAAAACACTGGGATCAGAAGTGTTTAAAATTTCAGAGGTTTTGGGTTTGGGAATATTTGCATGGCATTTACTGGTTGAACATTCCTAACTCATTTCAGATTTTGGATTAGGGATGGTTAACCAGTAAGTGCAACAAAAAAAATATAGGTACTTTGTCAAAAGTGTGTAAAGATTTGCAAGAAGGAGAGCTCAGTTCTGTAACTAATGGTTTAACCACACAATCCTATAGCTTCTAGTTTTTTAAGTTAGTTTTTTCAAATATTAAAATATAAAGGTGTTACATAGTATTTCTTTTTATGAGGAAGCAGTGGTTTTCTTTGTAATATGTATTTAAAATTTTTGAACTGTAAATTAATGTCAGATGCCTGTTATATATCCTAGAAACAGAAAAATAAACACCAGAATTTAACTTTGAGATCTAGCAAAGTTTCAACCGTGTTGTTGAAGGAGAAAAATTTGTGAACTGAGGATGGGGACTTTTTGTACATACTTGTTATAAAATGACGTTTGCTTGGGTATGGACAGGGTGGAGACACTGGAAATATGTGAAATGTCATGAAGAGAAAGAGTTAAAATCTGACTCAGGGACACTCTGAAGCATAGGCTGTCCTGGGTTGAGCACTGTGATCAGATAATCTGGCAGAGCTGGGTAGAGCCTTGGCAAGATGAAGAAATAACATCATTAGTTAAGTGAAAACAAAGATAAAAATACTTTGGGGATTTGTATATATGGAAAAGAGAGAGTGTATGGCATAGTAATCAGACATCTTGCCAGATGACAGTGTTTATTGGAGGACACTGTGCATCTGGCAACTTTTCTGTATTTTTAGCTAGGAAAACTCTTACATGGGAAATGTCTTAAGACCCTTCTTTTAGATAGAAGTAATATCTCAATCTGGAAGGATGACTTCCTGCTGGAGCTAAAAAGAGGAATGTGTTGTTTGGCAGCCCCCATACCCTAGGTCAGGGTTTAAGAGAAGAAAAAGTACATGCTGCTGGGAAATTATGGATACCTGTCTACTTAAAACTGTTTAAGACTTTCCACTTTGTAAGCCTGAACTCTGATTCTTGTTTTATATATGGCTTCTTTTGTATCATCTATGAATGCTCCTCCCTTTCCCTTCATATGTTTCTTACTTCTTCCTCCTGTACCTTCCTTTCCCCCTCCTCCCTTCTCCTTTTTTGGAGTCTGGGTACTGGGCCTCACACATGCTAGCAAGTGCTCTACCACTGCACTGTACCCCCACCCCTTTTTTATTGTACTTTGGGACAGGGTCTTGCTAAGTTGCCCAGGCTAGCCTCAAATTTGTGATCTTCCTGCCTCAGCCTCCTGAGTTGCTGGGATTTTAGATATGGGCTTAACTGTTTTTTGCATTTAAGATTTATGCGTGTACATGTGTGTTTTAAACTGCTGGGGTTAGAACCCAGGGCCTTGCTCTACAGCTGACTTATATGCTCAACTTCAAAAAGCCAACTGCTTCTCTCTTTTTTTTTTTTTCCCTCTTTCTTTTCCTGCAATGCTAGGGATTAAACCCAGGGACTTGCACATGGTAGGCAAGTGCACTACTGAGCTACATCCCCAGCCTTGGTTAATATTTTTTATAAACTAATGTTTGTGTGGTGTTTATTCTTTTACCCTTAGAATTGAAATACTTTCAAATAGCTTTTATAAATTTCTAATGGGGCTAGAATATAGCTCAGCAGTAGAACACTTGCCTAGCTTTTATGAAGCCCTGTGTTCAATCCCCAGTACCCTAAAAACAAGCAAAAGAATAAAACATTCTAATATATAAAATATGATAAATATTCATTAAATGGTTATTGTTAATGATTAATACATTTTCAGGATTAAATTTAAGTACTAAGGTAGATTAAGTAGCCTCCAGTTTTTTTCCACTGACCTGTTCCTACTGATGATAATAATAGCCAGCATTTTTTTTTTTTAGTATTACTAAATGTTAGGTACCATGAGAAGTAATTTATAAGTTCATTTGTTCTTTTTTCTTTCTTTCTGATTTTTAATTTTCACAGCACTCTGTGAAATAATGCTTTTATTACTTCCATTTTACAGATGAGGAAATTGAGGTTTAGGGAGAATAAGTTTTGTTTACTTAGGAATATTACACTGAAGGGGTGCAAATAATTCAGATAAAATCACAGTCAAAGAAGAAATGCCTAAAAGAGCTACTTGATTTCCTTCCTGTCTTTATCCATGTCCTCAGTTTGAAGTATCTGTTGAAGAACTATTTTGCTTCTAGTAACTTTGACTTTTACATAAAAACAGGTTCTATAACCTTGTTTTACTTGTGTCAGGCGATAGTGTCAAACCATTCCTTAGTGTGTTCTCAGCTCGAAAACTACCAAACAGGTTTATCCCATTAAGCATTGTTGGGAGTTGGTTAGCTTTCTGGAGATGGAATTTGTCAACCCGATAAACCAGCTCTTATAATAGCATCATCTGATACAGAATTAGAAATAATTCTGCCAGTCATACTTGTGGATTTGACTCAAAAAGTGTGTTTTATTCACATCCCTGTTTGTTCAATATAAAAATTTAGACAACTGAAATCTATACCCCCACCCCTGCAACCTCTCATCTCTCTCTCTCTCTCTTTTTTTTGCATGCCAGAGATCAAAGCCTGGGTCTTATGTGTGCTGGGCAAGCACTTTAACACTGAGCTATTTTTGAGATTTAAAATCTTGGTTGTAAGAATTAAAAAAACAAAAAAAACAAAAACCCAAGATAGTCCCCCCACTGCTCCTACCTCTAAGCTATATCCTCAGTCCAAAGTTCTTTTTCTCTAAGGAGCATATAAAGAAATTGCTAGAAAATATAAAATAGTGATGGGACTTACGTGTTTTAATTTTGACTAATGTCTTTTTGGAGATACCCACTTCCCATTTGGTGTCCCATGTGAATGCTTTCAGTACTATAACCGTGTCACCCTTTACAAATTTTTGTATGTGTTTTGAAGTGGAATCGTAGAGAAGCTACTCTTCTGATGTTTTTCTTGCAAGTTTTAAGTCTAATTTTACTTTTCTGATTTTAGTATATGTGCTGCCGAAGCGAGCACATACTTTTCTGGATAGACAAAAACCTCTTTATAGGCACCTTTGTCCTTCCTTTCCTTTACCTCCTCTGAGGTGTGGTGGGCCTCTAAGCAGAGTAGGAAGAGGGGAGAGGCAAATAGTATGGGAGAAGAAATTGGAATGATGCTGTGTTTTCCTTTTCATTGGGGTATTAGAATATTTCCAAGGGACAAACAGAAGATAGGCACTCTATTTGGGAGTAGTCTTTTGCACTTGTTTCTTTTAAAGTTGTGTCCCAAGTCCCCAAGTGACTCACTTGACACCAAAGTGTAACAACTCATCCCCCATATCCCTTCCAGAGCAACAGATTTAATTATTTTCAACCTCTAAATGTTAATTGAATGAATAGAAACCTCGTGAAGGACCTAGGAGAATTTTGCAAAAGTTAGAATTGGGCTGATTTGGGTTCTGCTTTTGCTCAGTTGTTTTCAGGGCATGAGAACTCCAGTAATTTATGCTATTTCAAGGAAAAGAGATTAAAAGTAATGCCAGTAAGGTAGAGACAATGCATTGCTTGGTCAGGGAAGAAAAACAATAGAACTGCCCTTTGACTTTCCTATAGGAAGCAGAAGGTCTGTAAACTTTGTAGAGTTAGGGGGCCTATATTCAAATGCAAGGCTTGTAAAAAAAAAAAAAAAACAAAACAAAAAAAAACAAAAACACCTCTGCTCCAAGTAGCTACCTGAAGTCCTTGTTTGGTACCTTTTTAAGATTTGCTCTCCTACATATGATGCTTTAAGAATAGGTCTGGGACTGACTGTGTCCCATACTCAGCTCTCTCTGAATTTATCTTTTCATTAATACCCTGTTACACATGTGTGCTATGTTTTTTTTTTTCTCTTTTTTGTGGTACTGGGGATTGAACCCAGGGGCATTCTACCACTAAGCTAGGTCCCCAGCCCTTTTTATTTTTATTTTAAATCAGGATTTCATTAGCTCAGGCTGGCCTTGAGCTTACTATCCTCCTTCATCAGCCTCCCAAATTGCTGGGATTATAGGTATGTACCACCTGTGCCTTGGCTCCAACTTTGCATCTGTTTTTCCTGTTAAGTTTTTCTAATACTGGACAAATTGCTCTTTTTTAGTATCTCCCTTAGTTGCAATCAGTTGGCAAATACTGCTGCCAGATTTTTGACTGGAGCGCTCCTAAAACTTCGTTAAAATTTAAATTGGAATGTGAGGGGCAGGAGCCTGAGCTCTGGTTCTGCCCCAGAGTAGCCTGTCCTAGAGGAGGCTGCCCACACAGAGGGGCTGTGCAAGTTTTCTGCTCAGGATATACAGATGTTTGGCTCGTGAAAAATGGCAGCTCTCAGTGTGAGGGTCAAGTGGAGATGAAGACCTCTGGAGGCTGGAGAACACTCTGTGCCTCCAACTGGAATATGGCCAATGCCAATGTAGTTTGCGGTCAGCTGGGCTGTGGAGTCGCCATCTTCACCCCAAAAGGAGCATACTTTGTGGAAGGAGAAGATGAGATCTGGAGAGACCAATTCCACTGCTCAGGGTCTGAGTCCTTCCTGTGGAATTGTCCTGTGACTGCCCTGGGTGTTCCTGCCTGTGCCCATGGAAACACAGCTTCTGTGGTCTGCTCAGGTCCTGTCAAGAGGTTTTAAGAGGTGTAGTTGTAAGTAAGCATTATTATTTATTGCAATTCATAAACAACACTGTATAACAATGAATGAAAACTCTGGGAAGTTTCTCACCCTGGACCATCAGAGAACATTAGCAGCTCACAGAAGTCACCTGCACATATTTCCAGTCACTGTGCCCTCCTGTCCTCTGAAGATGAGCACTCTGACTTCAGCTGCCAAAGAAAATTTTTGTCAGATTTGACCATTATGTAAAATCATACAGTATCTTCTCTTGTTGTATCTACTTTGACTCTACCTTTTGCTTAGAATTTACCCATTTTGCTATTTGTAGCAGAGCTTCCTTTTTTTATTGCTGTTGAGTTTTCTGCTGAATGACCACATGATACATTCAAGTGGTATTGATATTTGATGCTTGTTGACTTCCCAAATAATGATCCTACATATTTTCATGGTAATAGCTTCTGGTGTAGGTATGTATGTATTTGTATCAGATTTTTAACCCTTGTCCTTTTACTTTCACTCTCTTAATGTTGTAATCTTTCAGATGTCAAATGTAGTTCTTAATGAAGCACAGATTGTCAACATTTTTTGTACCCTAAATAAAACTTTGTACCATAACAGCATAAACATATTCTCCCAGGGTATGTTATACATGTTCCTTTTCTTTTGAATATAATTGTACAATCTTTCTGGGGTTGATATTATAAGGGAGTGTATGATGTGAAGAAAACTTACACATTATTGTTTTGGCAGCAAATTGTCTCAGCATCATTACGGAAGATGCTTTTCCCAATCATAAGTCATCTTTGAAATAAACAGGGTGTAGATATTCTTATTCATTCTGTACTCGGTTCCATTCAATTCTGTTGTTTATCCTTACAGCAGGTCTTATGTCCTTAATTATTATGACTTTATAGCATGTCTGAGTAAGTTTCCTTTAAAGATTACTTCAGAGTAAATCCTCTGATTGTGTGTTTTTTCTTGCCTAATGCATTAGTCATGCTTGGTCATATGCATTTCACATATATTTTAGAAGCCACTTTATATGTTTCTACAAATAAAAGGATGATGTTATTTAGGTTGATCTTGGATTTGGACTACACATGAATGTGGAGATAATTGACTTACAAAGGATATCTCTAATTTCTCTCAGAGATCATACATAGTCTTTATGATGTTTAATCCTAGGTGTTTTTGTGTTTGATGCTATTAATGTTTATTTTGGTGAAATATTATAGGAATGACTTTAAATTGTTTTCAACTTTATTTTTTATATGTGTGTGGGGTGTTTGGCTTTCCTTTTTTTATTTAATTTATTTATTAATGTTAAATTGATAATTCTTAAACAATTTGAAGGATAGTATAAAATTGCCAGATAATCCTAAACCAGATTTCCAAATGCCACTATTTTATTATGTTACCTGCTTCTGATCCATTTATGCCTAAATTTATCAAATCTTTCTTAATGAGTAGTTAAGAATCAGTGGATAATGTAACGTGTACCATTACTCCTAAAGTATTTTCAAGAATTTCATATGTAAACACAGTGCTGTTGCAAATTCCATAAATCCACTTGATGTAACGTGATTATATAGTGTATTAGCCTTGTTCATATTTTTACTAATTTTACTAAGTATGTTATTCACAGTAAAAAAATGTATGGTAAAAAAAAAAAAAATTTAAATTGTCATAATCTGATCTCATTTATTTACTTTAGTGAGGCATCTGCTGTAGTGATTGTTGTTACTGGGTCTGTCATTTTACCTAGGCAGAACCCCCTGAGTATTAGTTGTATAATTTATGGAAGTGCTTTGCTGATCTCTGTTTTAGTCCCTTAGCCCATGTGCTCTTTTTCATTGCAGATGAACAGGAGGCATTGGACTCGATCATGAAGGACCTGGTGGCCCTCCAGATGAGCCGACGTCCCCGTGCGTCTGGATATGAGACCATGAAGAACAAGGACACGGGTCACCCAAATAGGCAGGTATGTGTGGCCTTAACAGATTTGTTGGAGAGGGATTTTTCCAATGGGAAATATTTGATAAGTTAAGGCCACTCTACTAACAGCCTTGAGTTCTGTGGTCCTTTCCCTTCACAGTCTGTTAAATGGTAAATGATATATATCAACCAGATGTGAGTCTATGACCTGAAGTTCCAGAGCCTTGTGCATAGCATTTCATTTATAAAGAATAAAAATAGCTGGGTGCAGTGATGCACATCTGTAATCCCAGTGGCTTGGGAGACTGAGGCAGGAGGATCTTGAGTTCAAAGCCAGCCTCAGTAATGGCAAGACACTAAGCAACTTAGTGAGACCCTGTCTTAAATAAAATACAGCTGGGGATGTGGCTCAGTGGTTGAGTGCCCCTGAGTTCAATCCCCAGTACCAAAAAAAAAAAAGAATGAAAATAATTATTTTACTTATTATGGGGAGAGTATTCATACAATTTTTTTCCTTTACTGATTATTTGGCCTTAGTTCAGATTCATGCTTCCTAACTCAGAAGTATTTTAGAGTATACCTTAGAGTATGTATTCAGAGAAAATTAATTTTATGTAAAACATAATTAGGAAGGGAAATTTCATTCAAATGTTACATAAGTACTTGGGACACTGAGCCAGGAAGATGGCAAGTTCAAGGATAGCCTCTGCAACTAGCAAGACCCTATTTCAAAATAAAAGGACTGAGGATGTATCTCAGTGGTAGAGTACCCCTTGGTTCAATCCACAGTACCCCAGAAAATAAATTAAAATTTTTTTTTAATTTAAAAATGCCACATAATATATTCTAAAGGCAACAATGAATGACTTGTTGTTGTTATTATTTATAGTTGTTTCCTATTATTGACTCATAATATATTTTTGAGATAATATTTGTTTTATTGAGAGTCCTGTGCTTCTTCAGAAAAACATTGCCTATTTTTGTTAACATTTAAACCTGTGTGCTGTTGGGAATCTTCTCACCTCTAGTGTCATCTATTGTCCTATTTCCTGGGTACTTTGGCCTGCGGAGAGGAATGAATGGATGGGGAGCTTTCCTCCCTAGTGGGTATCACCAGTGCTGTATCTGATGGTGTTGCACATGTTTGATGAAAATTTGTCCATGATATCCATTCTTTCATGATCTAACCTCTTCTCTCATTTGCATCTTGTCTACCAAGTCTTCAGAAGTATCCTTGGTTCCTAGAGAAAGCATAAGCATAAGGCTCTAGGATTTTTTCTATCTGTGGTCTTGCCTCCTAGAGTATTTCCTGCCTTTAGGAATTCTAAGGCCCCCCCCACCCCCCGGGGGGAGGTGGAGAGGATTATTTTTGTTCCATATTATTAATGGAGAGATCACTTTAGAAAGCTTTCATTGTAATTATCTTACAGAACTGAGCTAGGAACAGATTAGGACCCATTCTTCTAATATTTTCATACATTATTCTGTCTAATTGTGTGGGTTCTCCTTGTTGTAACTTATTTGTATTCAAAGCCACTTTTGGAAGGAGCATTTTACCAGAATTGAGTTCCCTCCCCCAGGCTTGAGCCTAATGACCTCACTTTCCTTCCTGTCTTCCTATGTGGAGTTTGCCTGCGAACACTGCTCCAGTTAGCTGATCTTTTTCCATACTGAACTATGGGCGTAGATATCAGTTAGTGGGTGAAAAGGGGAAGGTGTTTTGAGCTGGAAGACCCATATGGACTGAGGGAAAAAGGAGTGAAGTAGTCCCTGATAGTTCCTTAACAGGAATTACCTTTTAGGAATCATTCTGTTTAGAGGCTAAAAGCTATTATAAAAGAAATCTTGATTTTTTTTTTCCCCCTATGTCTGCTGTTATGTTATTGGAGTGAAGTCAGTGGTTGGGAAAGTTGTATAAAGAATTGGCTATTTTTTAGAAATTAATCTTCATGGGTACTGGCTCTTTGCACCTATAATTTACTTGAGTAATGTCACATTTTTTTTCTGTTATGTGGAGGATGCAAATCATTAACCTCAGTTTTTTTGTTTTTAAAGAAAAAACACAACAGCAGCAGCAGCTCAGCCCTTCTGAACAGCCCCACAGTAACAACAAGCTCATGTGCAGGGGCCAGTGAGAAAAAGACATTTTTGGTAAGGACCTGTATTACCTGTTAAAGCTGAAATGTGCTTTTAAATTTGCTATTCATTCTAAAAGAGTGAAATTCATTTCTCAGATAAGTTGTTTTAGTGAATTTGTAGGGACCATTGGTTCCATGTTCTGTGCCTCTAATCATTTCTCACAACAGTATTCATAAACAGCCTCTCTCAGTACTAATAAACTTCCTGTGATGACAGAAATGCTTTAATATTTGTGCTGTCCAATATGGTAGCCACTAGCCACATGTTCTGTTGAGCAACTGACGAACTAAGTTTTAAATTTTACTTATTTTTAATTAAGTTAAATAGTCACATGTGGCTGGTGATTATTTGAGAGTAAAACTTTACATACTATGTAAAGTATTGTTGATTTTTTAAAAAGGAAATTAAGTCTGTACTTAGAGATGGTAGAGATTCATTGGTGCCTTCCATATTTCTACACAGGTCATGAGTTTCTATAAATTATTATAAGTTCATCAATGGGAATCCTATCTAATGAAATTCTATTCTTTGGAGAATGTGAAGCTGTGACTCTAACATGACTGTTTTTGAAATTAAAGCTCAAGTTTTTGTGCAATATTAGGTAAAAATCCAAAAAGTGTCAAGATGACTTTTCCCTTTAAGTCAAGGATGTAGAATGATCTCTTCTGGGAAGCCTAGTAGCTTTTCACCAGGAGAGATAGTCTTCAAAAATCTTTAAAAAAAATTTTTTTTTAGTTGTAGATAGACCTTTATTTATTCATACGTGGTGCTGAGAATCGAACCCAGTGCCTCACACGTGCCAGGCAAGTACGCCACCACTGAGCCACAACCTCAGCCCCTTCAAAAATCTTGAAAGCAGAAAGACAGTGCATTTATAAAAGAGAGAAGGTGAAATGGGGGTGAGGGGAAATGCATGGGGGAGAAGTATTGACAGTTTACAATTTAGTGTAATGAAAATCATGGGGGTGGGGAGTAGGGGGAAGCTGGGGTTGTGGCTCAGCGGTAGAGCGCTCGCCTAGCACATGTAAGGCTCTGGGTTTGATCCTCAGCACCACATAAAAAATAAAATAAAGGTGTATATACATATTAAAAAAAAATACCTGGAAAGTGGACTTGGGACTTTACAATTTACAGAGTAAATTAATGTTTGTTATTGTTGTTTATTGTTAGTTTAGGCTTAGGATAGGATGAAATAGCTTTTTTCATTACAAATTTTTTGCCAGAATGTCCATGCTTAAGAAGAAAGAGGAATGAAAAATCACTGCCTAATTTAAAGAGCTAAGAGATGCCAAACTGGGCTAAGAAATGTCAAATTGGGCTAAGGATTCAAATTGCAGAATTGTAGTTGAAGGTAACCAAGTATTTTGGCTAGTGGGAAAGGTTGTTTATTCATGAGTGGAATGATGTTGGCAGAAGCAAACAGCTCTTCAGTGTGCAAATGGCAGTGCTGGTTACAAGGCCAAGTTGAGACTGGCACAGCCTCATGGGGCTCAAGCTTGGCACGGCAAAGAAAATCAGAGGAGGTAGGTTCATTGATAGAAATGTTTGGGGGCTGAGGCCTGGAAGAACTGGGAAACCTAACTCAATATCTCTGATTGGTCCTGATTGGCAGGACTTAAGACATCCTCTTAAGTAAATAGGGTTGGTAACTAATTGAAAAAGAATGTGTCTGAGAACAAATAAACATTCTGAGCCACTATAGAAGTACTGTGGGCAACGAGATGCTCAGCTGTGAACGATTGGCCGGGAGGCTAGATTTGTGTTCTCTTTATTCTCTCTTCTATACATTAGGTCCCTGGAAGCCTACAGCATGGTTAGAGCTGGCTGAATATCTTAGGTGTATGGCATATCAGGTGTGATTGGCGCCTGTGGATGGTTTTGCAGGTCATGATATGTAAAATTCTCTCAGCTGGTATCCACTCACAGTGAGTACTCGCTGCCAGCTCAGTGGAGTAAAGAGAGCACTGGCCTAGAAGTCATAGAATTGTTAATCATCTGTTAACAAAGGATTTTACGATTTACTGAGTACTTTCTACAATGATAGTTAACAACATCAGCAGTTGTAAACATGTATAATATTTTAATGTTTACAGAACTTTTTATTTTATTTTTTTATTTTTAGTTGTTGATGGACCTTTATTTATTTTTATGTGGTGCTGAGAATTGAACCCAGCACCTCACACATGCTAGGCAAGTGCTCTACCACTGTGCTACAACCTCACCCCATACAGAACTTTTACACAAAGATAATTGAGTAGAACCAGGTAACAAACACAGATCTTCTGACTCTTAGTCACATTAATTTTACCAAATTTAAGTTATATAACCTTTTGGAACCTCAGTTTTTCCATCTGATATATAGACATAGTATCATATTGTGTTTACCTCATAAAGTTGTGGGTAACATGGACAGAATGTATTTTGTACATTTTATTTTATTTTTTTATTTTTTTTACAATTCAACAAAGCAGAATAACATGTTTATTATTCTAAGTTTTATATATAACTACCCCAAACATTAACAAATGGCTAAAATAATGTCTTTAAAAAGAATAGGGTTAATGAGGAGTAGGGTATCTATTGTTCTATATCCTGACTTTCTCTGTATTACGGATTAGTAATTATGTGCAAAATTAACTTGATAATAAAATTTCAAAAATATTAATTTGAAGATTTTTAGCAAAGATTTCCAAATTACATAAATGACTTCTTTGATCAACTTTTTACTTTTCATAGTCATTCTCACCCCAGTTTTTTTTTTGTGTGTTTTTACTTTCTTATCATGTAACATTCATTAACATTCTGCCCCTTATTGTTACTTATTTATTCAAATATCCTTTCACTTTATTCTCTGCATATCCTTACAAGTCACAAAAAGTATATTTATAATCTTCTGCGCCATATAAAATGAATACCCAGTTAAATGAGTAGTTGATTATAAAGTAAATCATATTCTAAAGCTTTGTGAAATTTTTGAACAGTATGCTTATCCCATATCATTTGAAATTTATATGGTTTCAACAGAGATGAGTAAGATTTTAATATGGGAAAATTGCATTTTTAGAAAACCTCTATGTGGCACCTTTTAAACTACATCCATAAAAGCCATGTGAAATAGTAAGTTCATGGCAAAAAAGTAGTGACATTCAGTTGTCTGATTTACTCTCTTTTATCGAAATCAACTGAAGAAAATTGATAATTTCACTTGTCATTTTATTTTTTTTTTATTTTTTAATTTTTTTAATTAATTTTTTATTGTTGGCTGTTCAAAACATTACATAGTTCTTGATTATTTTGTACATTTTAAAACAAACATATAAATGTGAAGTTGTAGCTGGGTGGTGTGGAACACGCCTATAATCCCAATGGCTTGGGAGGCCGGGACAGGAGGATCTTGAGTTCAAAGCCAGCCTCAACAGTGGTGAGGCGCTAAGCAACTCAGTGAGACCCTGTCTCTAAATAAAATACAAAATAGGACTGGGGATGTGGCTCAGTGGTCAAGTGCCCCTGAGATCAATCCCTGGTACCAAAAAAGTATAAATGTGAAATTGTAGTGATTACATGACTTCTATTATGTTCTAGTTCTGTAGGTGTGAACTTTGGGGAAACAGTTTCTAAACCAAAACTATGCATACTGTTTTGGAACTGAAAGTTCTAAGTTTTTCTACCTTTATTGAATTGTCATTATCAATTATTTGATTGATGGCCTTGTGCAAACTTCTGGATCTAGTCCAATTTTAGAAAACTCCAGTAAAGGAAGAAATAGAATCTTTATTTCCATGATTCTGATTTCCCTTGAATCTTATCAAGATGGCAGGTAGATGCTCCATCAGAGCCCAGAGTCTGGATCTGACTCTCTAGATAGTCCACTAGCGGGTCCTTCTGAATGGAAAAGCTGCCTTTTTTGCGGCAGAAGTAAGCAGGGCAGACCCTTGGCTATCAGTTCTACAGGAAGAGAATTCCAGGAGCTGTTCCTCTAACAGGGTCGATGATTAAGCAGACTGCCTTTTGCTTTTACCATGATAGATCTGGCTCTTCAGGACTTCCCTTCTCTTTCAAGGGTTGTTGATAAGATGGCTGGCCAGTTTGAAAATAAGACATAGCAGCACACAGCCTGGTGTGTTTTTTTTTTGTTGTTGTTGTTATAAGGTTGGTTTATAATCATCTCTTCCGCTGATCTCTTCTGACTTTTCTGAGTTACATATACAAATAAAATTTTTATTTTTGTTGCCCTTTTTCATTTATTTACAATCTCTGGCAAAATAAGGACTTCAGTTCCAAAGATGGGGGAAGCCATCAAAGGTATTCAGCAAATACAGGAAGAGGGAGCAATACAGAATCAGAGAGAGGATAAGACAAATAATGACTAACCGAGATCTTTGCCAGAACAAACTAGTTCACAAACCTTTGTTTAATAAACAGTGATTTTTTTTTTCTGGATTCTCAAGAGTTTTTTTGGATTACATGTTCACATATCAGTCCAGACTTTGAGAAATTTGCGTCTTCGTAAATTTGGTGTTACCGGTGACATCCATTGCCCCTGCTGCTTCCTGAATCTGTAGCTCAACTTTGAGGCCTGCCCTGTCCCTTTTCAGAGTGTGACCCTCACTGTTACCCTTACTGATTAACTGGTGAACAGGGGACTTGAATTTCCTAAACCTGAATCGTTATACTAATTTTCTTCCTTTTTTGGGGGGGGGTTGTTTGTGGGGGGATACTGGGGATTTAACCCAGGGTTGATTTACCCCCCTGAGCTACCTCTCCAGTCCCTTTTATTTTTTTATTTTGAGGCAGTCTCACTAAGTTGCTGAGGGTTTCACTGAGTTGCTAAGTCTGCCCTCCAAACTCTTCCCAGTGCCTCTCGAGTTACTGGGTAATAGTTATGCACTACTCTGCCAGCTCCAGAACATTTTTTCTCAGCTATGGCACCTCTATTAAATTTAACATATGAGTATAGTCCAGCTTCCTAAACACATAAAAGAAATGTAAGTTATAGTCCCTGAACCCTAGGA